TCGAGTTTCTGGATGTCATCTAATGACGAAATTTCCATATTGTTGTATTAAAGAACCATTTTGAAGGGAGAAATCGCATTGAAAAGTGCATTAGAACGTGAAATGTCAGCATATCAGCTGTTTGAAAGAACCGCCGGGTCAACCCCAGCCACGTCATCGTGTATGCGCGGTTACTAATCCAATATGGCGCCGGGAACTGTAAAAAGGTCTATTCCTGGAGGGTTTTTCCAGATATCGTGCAAAGAGGAAAACAGCCATCTCTTGGTATTTCTGAGGTTGATTCATCTCTGAATTTATGTGTCACGCTTGTCATGCAACTGTACGAAGACGATGGATAAACTGGAACTCAGATCTGGCAAGAATATGGTAGAGCATAACGTGATCATCGAAACAGCTAATAAAATCATAAATAAACAAGATTAGAGTGTTATGTTAGATTTTGTTACAAATTGTAGTGATTTATGCTAGTAAACGGTGGCGACAAGTAGGCACACCATATATATCTTATAGTCGCTAGCAAGTAAATTTTGCCGGACTTTGAGTTTGTCTCAAGATAGAACAACACAAATACACAAGGAAATTTTTACAGTAACTTTATAACCATCCTTTTTCTTTTAAAAGCTAGAAGCTCAATTGATTCTTTCTTATCGGTCATTGTTAAACCTGTCTTTGTCTTGATGCTACTTTTCGACATAGGAAAGTATGTCGGACAAAAATATTCACCAAAAAATAAACATGTCTTTGCCAGCTTCAATAATGACGGAGGATTAAGTTTAGATGATGAAACAAAGTATTATGTTGACAGAAATACCGGAGGTCAAGTAAATTCGTTACATCGTGTCACACAACTCGGGTTATACTCACGGTGAAAATTTGCATACTTGAGCGGTCGAACTAAAAAAATCATTTCTCGAAAACGAAAATGTATTTTCACAAAAAAACTACACCAATATTGAAGGCCTAAATGTAATAACATTTAGTCCTAAATGTAAATGATTCCTTTCAAGCTAGAGTTGTAAATTCGATTCCCGGGTTGATACACGCGAATGCGATAAACACCAAACCAAATAGGATGTTTTCTTTCTTTATTCCTTTTCCTATTACTTGGGGCGTTATTATATAGAAACGATTTTGGAAACGAGCACGTGGCAATTAAAGGAATCAAAGGAAAGGTAAAAAACGAGTGATAAATTTTACTTTGTGTAACGACTACGAGCTAGATAACATAATCACAAAACAAGTTATTGCTTACCAACGTTCGCGGGTCTTGATTACTTTATTGAGGATTACAGTCTAACTTGTCTTCTATTCAAAAACGATCTTGATCACACGGGGTCTTATCTTGAACTGAAACGCTTTCTATAATTTTCTGCCTAAAGAGAACTAATCACGGGGGCGTCAACCTAACCAAAAAATATTTCGCAGCTTTTCTCGGAAGCTGTAATACTTAGCTTTAACGGAAGCAGTAACACTAAATGTAATAAGTCTCCAATGTAAGCGTTTATCCACCAGTGCATTGTTGTTATAGCGGACATTCACACTGAGATGTTTATATGACAGCTGGCTCAGACTCTTAAGTAAAATAGATTTTGGAAAAAGACGATAACTTCATACTTGTGTCATCAGTGATGGAGTTAACAAGTTATAAACCAAATCACAAACCTGGATAAGGGAGTCCGCTGACTATAAGGTCGGACAGTTTGCAGGCTCGGATATATATTTTTGAACCTGGGATATTGCATTTCTAGCCCTCTATGGCTTCACTCCATCTCGGTAATCAGTTCATATACCATATTACCAGAAGTGGAAACTTTTGAGCTTTCGTTTTTCATTTATTTATTTATCCATTCATCTTCTCCCCTCACGGCGGGGAGAAGAGATAAAGACAAAACATGAAACAAAAACCTGAGATCGACCGTGGAATACATCTTCTCTCTTAACCAGGCTTACTCGTCTCGCTCCAGGCTTATTCGTCTCGCTCCATAAAAACGCAACAAAAGAACCTGGCCAATATCCAGCCATCTTGACCTCACGCTTGGTCAATAACGCATATGAATATATTTCATGCAGACCCATACAAATTTGGCAAAGGAAGACAGTTCAAAAAATACACTTCCGAGCCCGGAATTTGTCTAACGTATAGGTCAGTTGACTTCCTTTTACTAAGAGTGGGATATGTAAGGTAAGGAAAGGAAGGATTGGAATACTGGAATACAGCAAAAGAAAGTCTGTTTTGATATGAAGACGTCCCCGCATAAGGCCGCCATTTTTTCTTCGCGTTTCATGGATCTTACTACCTGTGAGCTCGAGTGGCCTATTTCCCGCGAAAAAATATTCTGAAAATAAACCGTTCTGTGAACCGTTCCGTTCATTGTCTCAGTATGAGAGTTGAATGCTCCAAGTAGCGGCTCCTGGTTGCACTAAATAGTCTAAGACAATGATATAAAAAGAGGTATTGGTCAGCGTTCTCATTGTTTTGACGTCTGTCAAGTTTATGTCAAAAGCACGTCAGTATAAGGATTTGTAGCCAATGCTTCTCGACCTACGTCTCTAGCGAATAAAAAGACGCTGATCAATATTAGCGAGCCCGCAATGTGCTATGAATATCGGTCAGAAGATTCTTTGGTGCAACACCTGTCACTTAAACATCTCTACGTGAATGTCAGCTCTGACAACAATGCACCAGCACAGTTAAACGATTGCATCGAAGGTTTATTACATTTAGGGCTTTATTACATTTAGGACAGTTATTACATTTAGGCCTTACTCACCACACACCACAATTATTAGGACATATTGGGCTACAAAATGTGAAAGTAGGAATGAAAGCAAATTTTGGGTGACTTGCCGCAGTTTGTCTGATGTATGTTGACATTAGCTCTTAAAAAGGCGCTCGTAGACAGAATATCGATGTTGCTGTTTAAGGACGTTTAGCTCTGTGTTAATTAATTCAGTTTTCCATGTTACTCCAATATGAGAAGCGATAAGGTTTTGAGGTAAAGCCTAATAACCAAATCGACCTTAACAGAGCAGTGAGGATCGTGAAAAAACAACGAGTTCCTACATCAACCAGCAAAAGTAGTGCATTGCAAAATCATTCATGCAGAACCGCAGCTCTGTTTGTTTAGGTACGGAGTTCTGATTAATTATTATTATCTTTTTTTAAGCCGGGTTCTTGCAATGCATTTCAGTAGGGAACTCTATGATTTAGCTTATTATTTATTCATTTATCTAGTCTGTCTATCCATTTATCCATCAATCCATCCATTCATCCATTTACCTATCTATTAATTAATTAACTAATTCATTTGTTTTGAACCTGCTTGAATCCAAAACCAATCAAGCTTTGACCCCTGGTTGTTTTGTTTTTTAAAGTACATATCACGTGAGGGTACTCGAGAGATTACTGAAAATTGGTCTCATTCAGATTTCACGTGATCTATTAAGTATAAGTATTTTTTGAGGACATTTTCCAACTTGCTATTTCTGGCATTTTCATGTCAATCATCGAGTATTCACATAGAGGTTTAGCAAAAACATCCCAACTTTTATTTGAGTTCATTTTATTTTAGTCCGCCATATGAGCGTTCCTACTTCTTTCGCGGCCCTAACTCAGAAAATTCGACCTAATAATGTATTACTTGGATAATTTTGATTTAACAAATAGAGAAGCCTTGACTGTGCTCTGTTCTGTTATAAAGCACGCAGGAAGCGGCTAGAGCACGAAAGAAGCGTAGGGAGAAACACGAGACGTAGTCAGTCAAGGCTTCTCTATTTGTTTTATAATAAAGAATCCGTCAAATTCCCCATGCATTACTTCCAATTTTCAAAACAAACTTTATTTCCAAAGCGAACAACAATGTCGTCAGCATGCTCTTTACTCTCATAGAGCACGCTACAATAAGCCAATCAGAATCCCTGTTAGAATGGTTCAAATCTAATTGGCTCTACAAGACAAAAGCTGTCAAAAGTGTCAAACCATCAAAGTTCAAAAACCATCAAAGTTCACAATCTGCGATAGTTTACAAACTAAAACAGTTCGGCAGGTCGATTTTAACGCTTTTGCCTGAAGTTTTTAATACAGAATCTTCAAGTGAAATGTTCAGTGAACTTCAGCCGAATTATGGCTCATAAAAAACACGCGAGTTTTTTCACATTATAAGGTAGAAAACAAACTGTTCAAGGCGAGTTTTTTTTAAATGAACTACAGCCGAATTCACCGGAACATGAAGATCGCTCGGGATGACAGCGCCGCAAAACTCGCCTTTGTTTGGTTCTTCTGTTGCTACTTGCCGGCTCGCTTGTTCCGAAATTTTACTTTCAATTATCGGAAAAAAAGCTAAAAAGAAGTCCCAGAAAGGTCGAACATAGTACAATTTGGCAGATGGCGTGACAGCTTTAGCTCAGTTCTATGCTCTATACTCTCATAGAGCATGCTCTTTCAACCAATGACAGCGCGTGTTATATCCGAACTTTATTATAATAGTAAATAGAACTTGCTAAATGAAAGTTGGCCAACGAGAGCGAATGCGAATAATTTCTTCGTTGTTTATGAAAAGGAATGCTTAACCAAAGCAATTTTAAAAATAAAAGTAAAATACCAAAAATGTTTCATTTGGAAAGGAAAAATAAAGAAAGTTTCCCATAAACTCGGGATCTAATGGTGTTTCGATGACCCTTTCAAAGTATTTTGCTCGTACTAATCAACGTCCCTTTGATTTCGTGTCTGCTTTCCAGGGATATCGATACTTATTTTGACCCACAAAAATATATATATTTCAGTAGTAGAAGGGCTTTTACGTTTCTATATAGTGTCATCTGCACACGAGTGGTGTTAGAAGAATTCTTGCAAGTTCAGGAAACGCTTAACTGCGTCTTGAGAACATTCGAGAATTCTCCCAGACCCCTCTCAACCAAGGACGAAAGGAAGTTTAACGGAATTAGATTATAACTAACTTTCAGAGTGACTTTTCTTTATTTAGAAAAAAAAATACTGAAGTGGTGTGTTGAGGGCAAGAATGAACTTTTTTTGAGAAAAATGTTCGTTGATATCACTTTCTAAACGTCGTTAGAAAGTTTAAATAGCAATAAATAGGAAGGCTTTCAGGTTGGCGAGGTTTTTCTGGGAAATAAACGACAAACGACCAGTATTTTAGAGCTATTGATCTTCTTTAGTAGTATCTATTTGTCAGGTTACAGTTTTTACCTTCAGCTTTACTTGCCTTTCAGCTTGTAACCTAATTTTTTTTCGTTTAGCTAAAATCTTTCGTCCACTAGAACGTCGTCAGAATTCGAGAATGCAATAGAAACTCCTGTCCTTTATAGATTGTTTTAAGATAGGATACCATCATGTACGAGTTCACGACAGATCTTTGTCTGTAGCCATGTACGGCATGGAGAATAGTGATGAGATCCGAGTTACGATGCTTCAACGGTGTCTTCTTGAGCTCCCTGGGGATGTTTTCATTAAACTATGGAGAAACTAGGGCATTATTCCTCCGAAAGGCAACATTTCAAGCAAGGTTTCCCTTTTATAAATCACAAACATGCTTTCACCTAACTGCGTGAAATATCTTTTGCCTTTAAGCCACTAACACGTAGGCTTACTTTTAAGGTTTTTGCATTTACGGAACGCATTCATTCCTTCGTTCGCTCAAGAATAAGTCTGAAGTATGATTACATTGTGGCAACATAATAACATTCTCGGACTTAGCGACGCAAGCAGAATTCACATTAATTTGGTTTCATGAAGCAGAACGTCCTAAAAGATCGATATATCATCACGCTGTTTATGTGGAGATGAAGACCTAACAGCACAGTAGGAATATAACATGATAAACATTGCAACAATTACAAAGAAGTAATTTTTTTCTTGGTGTCGTCTTGATACGATTGTGTTGCAGGTGCGAACCAAGCTTTCCTTAAAGCTACGTTAACTATTTCGGTATTTTTACTTCATTACAGAGTTTATTTTAGGACTTAATTAAACTTCTTATCGTGCAATTAACCCTTAAAGTCAACCGCTAAATATGGTTCTTATCTCGCTTGTGCCTTAGGGTTTTAAGAACTATTTCTTCTTCTCCTTGCTCAACAGACTTTGCAGCTTTTCTTGCATTTGTTTTTTATTCTTCTCCTCCTTCTGCAGCGGCGTATCCAAGACCGACGACGACATTTGCGTGACCTGTCTTTGCAAGTTGCTGAGAGGTGGAAAAGGAGAAAAGATGTTTGAACCAAATAAACTTTAAAGTTACTCTACAGTTAAATTAAAAATTCAGCAATTACAAAATTGAATTCCGCTTAGCTAGATCTTGTTGTCTTGTGTTAAGACTGGCGGCATAAGGTTCTATTTGCTAATGAGATTTATGTTCAACCAATGTAACAACAACAGTAACAATGTTTTCCCTCAAAACTCTTCCGAAAAAATATCTAAAAAGGCTGAGTTATTACTTAACAGGCTTCTTTTTCACCTTTGGGCTTAGGTTTGGCCTTGGGTGTGGGCTTGAGTGTGGTCTTCGGGGTAGGCTTGGGCGTGGCCTTGGGCGTAGCCTTGAGCGTGGCCTTGGGCGTGGCCTTGGGCGTGGCCTTGGTCGTGGGCTTTGATGTGGCGTAGAGTGTGGGCTTGGGTGTGGTCTTTGGCGTAGGTTTGGGTGTAGCCTTAGGCGTTGACTTTGAAGTGGGCTTGGGCGTGGGCTTCGGTGTGGGCTTGGGCCTCCTTGCACACTCTGCTTTGTACAAAAGGTTCGCCTGTTTTGCATCAATGGAACTTAATCCTTTTCGTTGGCCAATAGTAACCTGGAAAAAATGAAGAAAGTTTCTGTTAAAAAAGGGAAACATAATTCTCATGGTCCCACAAGTTTGCAGATCTGTGGAGCTGGGTGTGTTTTCGTATGCCAATCTATCGGGCTTAGTATGGATAAGGCCTCGCTCATGTGCTGGTCACGTGATTCAGAGAACGTTCCCCGTGTGGTATATGTGCATATCCAAAAATGGTCATGCTGTCACTAATCTGTCAAGCGAAGATCGCTTTCTCAAAAACTGCTGGTAACCTATGTGATATATACAATGAGAGAATATGAACAGGTTCCCTTGAGACTATAACCCGTGATAAGTTCTATTTTAAGAAGCAGTTTTCGCAGTTACACGGCGCATTTACTGAAGCCGAATGTGGCTGGAGTGCTCATTAATTCATTAATTGAATGTCAGGTAAGGAAAGCAAGAAACGGTTGTAAGAATTAACCACGCTTCTATTTTTCTATCCTGAGTAACGTACCCCTGATTTTTTAGCAACTATTGTAGGTTTTCCATTCCTACTGAAAGCTGTACTCCTATAATGCATTAGACTTCCATAGTCGTATGGTGTGCCGAGTGAATCGATTTTCCCTCTGCTGTATTTATAAAAATTAGATTCCATCCCTGTAATCGAATAAAATATACAGCCCGTTAGAAAAGAACTGCAGTTAAAGCGAGGCACAATTTTCATAGTTTTTGTAAAAGTAATATTTCAAACGACAATCCCTTTTGATGATGTAGCCAATCACGTCCACAGACCTTGAAGTTGGCCATTAAGTTGACTTGGAAACTTTCGCTGGCACTTGTTTTTCTAAGTCAAGTTTTATTCATTGACTCTTTGTAATCACGAACGTGCTTTTTTTTTTCTTCTTTTCGAAATCGTCACCTAAAACCAAAGTTGTTTTTAATTCAGTAAGCTCATTACATCTTTATTTACCGAGTTTGGACTCCAGCCTCTAGCATTAGGAGTTTACCAATAGTTACCTGAAACTATGTTAGCACGATTAATCCTGATGAACTTATCTCTGTCAGGACGGGACTGCTCATGGTAAAATCCGATAGCGTGACCTGGAAAAATTTAGACATTTACATTTAGAGCGCAACTCTCATCATAGGATGGAAAGGAGTAAAATGGGGCGGAATGGAGTGGAATAGAATAGAATGGAATGGACTGGAGTGGAATATAATGGAATGGAGTGATTGAAGTGACATGTGGTGGAATGGAGTGGATTGGAGTGGATTGGAGTAGTATGGAAAGGAGTGGAATGGAATGGAGTGGAATAGATTGAAACGGCATATAACGGATTAAAATCGGCTGAAATGAAAGTGTGATGGAATAAAATGGAGTAGAATGGAGTGGAATGAAATGGAATTGAGAAAATGGAGCGGAATGGAATGAAACAGAGTGGAATCGAGTGATATGGAATGAAGCGCTACGGAGTGGAACTGAGTAGAATGGAATGGAATAGAGTGAAACGGCATATTATGGATTGAAATAGGCTGAAACGAAAGTAGAATGAAGTAAAATGGAGTAGAATGAAATGGAATTGAGAAAAATGGAGTGGAATGGAAGTAGAATTGAGTGGAGTGAAGTGGAGTGGAATGGAGCGAAATGTGGTGACCTTGGATGGAAATAAAAAGAATGGAATGCATACAAATTAAAGACAATTGAATAATATTAAAATTGCACATTTTAGTAAGCAATTTGCAATATTCAAGAACAGTCAACCCTATTTGCTGTTTTGTATGATTGTCGAGTGATGCGATATTTCAAATATTCTTACATTTCTTTCTAGTTCTCTCTTGTAATTTCTGGTTGTAAGTCTCATATAACGTACCACTGTGTGTGAAATTACGTTTTCGACAGTTCGCCATCGGCTTGGACAAAATTTACCCATAGAACTAAGGAAATATTTTTAATCAGGGACCTATACCGCCGCGTGTGAGCTTTTATTAAAAAAAAATAATAAAAAAATAAAAAATCCCCGTAAGGGAGCTGCACGGGGTGGCGTACGTAGAGCCACGATGAGACTCCGCTAGATGCAAAATATAATAAGAAGCATGTGATCAACTGCTTATTGACTGAGTAAGGTCACGCCAGACGCGGAATATTTGGTTCTTAGTCATCACGCGTGGACCTCGCCGCGATCGATGCAAAAAAAGCCGAAGAATTTTGTTTTTTAGTAAATGCTTCTCTTCGTTTCTCACACCATCAGTTTGTCAAATGATATTAGCGAAATTGTTAACACCCAGAAGACACCCTACATTTCTTTCTCTTGGAATAAAATCTTTGAAAATTTGATGCTGCTATTTGATAACAGTTCATAGAATAAGAGTCACCTATTTCATGAGAACAGATGCCCTTGTGCCAGCATCCTGGTGCGAGAAAAATATCTTGGCGCCTACCAATTCTTCCCACATATGATGCACATCTGTAATATAAACGGTTTTGATGAAAACTTTTTTCAACAGCTGCACGTTGTAAAATATATCGTTATCTACTTAAATTGATGACCGAAAATTAGGGATGATCATTACGGGAAAATCTTAAACTGCGGCCTATCTGTTTGACAAAGCTTCTGCGTGTTTAACACAGCCCGGCCGACGTTTTAGATTTTCCCTCAACGACCAACCAAACATTCAAACACAACAACAACAGGGTGAATACAAACAAAAAGAAACCAAAACCATTTTGAAGTAATTGTTTCACTGATAAACAAGATAAATTATTCCAGGGTGGGCGGGAAGGGTGGGGGATGGGAAAGGAACAAGTTGGCTAATTCATCCTTACAGGGAACACTTTAATTGTTGAAAAATGAACGATACGTTAATTATTCTTGATTTGATTGACATTTATAAGCGATTTCATTTATCTACACATAATCAAACATACATGTATGTGTCACGTATTTTATCGCTCCATATATTTCACTGTTGCACGTGCTTACAACGGGACGTTTAATGTGTGTCCTTTGGGAATAAGCCGGGAGCTGTGTGAGGGAGTTAACCGAAGCGTTGTGGTAGGATCGTTAAATCAAGGGAATAAGCGTGACATAACAAGGAGGGTGGAAAAGCTTTTTCACGTTTTCGACACAACACAATGAGCTAAGAAAATTATATCGGAAAGAAATAACTAACACCAATGACTACAGCAAAACCACCTGAAGCGAAAAATAAACAAAAACAAACCAGCAAACAAAAAGGAAACTGTACACTTACATAGAGGAACAGAAATTTATCTTTTAATAACGCTTACCCTCTGCCATATCTGAAGAAAACGTAAGCTTTCTGACTAGGGCTTGTTCTTCTCTTAAACTGAATACAGGTTTTTGAGGTCCAGTCGGCCATCCCAGCTCTGATGGCAGACATCGCTCGGGAATAGCGACCTTCAAAAAAAAAAGGGATAAATCTAGTCTAATGACAATGTTTCCCCAGCTTTTTTATATCGCATCTTAAAACGCACAGGAGTCCCATCCAGCTATAATCCATTGTTATTAAAACTAATTTTTGAGAAACACATTGATAAAGACAAGGCTTTTGCGATAATTTTTTTTTTCACATGATGAATTTACGTGGAGTCCATAAACTTAAAGATCTCATATATTTTTTTGAGTTATTGTGAAATATTCAATTAGACTATAGTTTCAGGACATACTATGAGCTAGACTTAGTGATAGGTTTACAATGTGACATTAACTAACTGAGGCTTGGAGAGATCTGATAGAGGACGACTCCCTTAGGCCATAATTTGGATCTCGACGAGGCTCTTTTGTGGCGAATCCCATCAATATCTAATCCTTCTTCTGCTCTTTCCCGCTGCTCCTCCGGAAGTAGCATGTCTCCTTCAAAAAGACTGGAGTTCCTCAAGCCAAAATTTTCTGAGGACAGGCAAGCATGAATCAGTTAGTGCCAAACTGTATTTTACAAAGTTGTGTTATATTCTTCTCACTGAAGTTTTTGCTTATCAATCTTCCCTCTTTACTGTTAAAATTGAGGAGGAAAAAATACAAGGAATCACCGCCAAATCCAGGCGTGGGGTTGGCCCAGGGATATGACGTTTTCGAAGCAGTTTTTGATAGATAGTATTACGAGCAGAAGTATGTTTAGTGAGACGACTGCATGACGGCAAACCTTGATCTGATGTTCTGTGAAAACGATGAAATGGCAAACGTCGTAGACGAAGGACTCAGAAAAGAAAGGAAATAGCAAAATATCTAAAATTAATGGTTACTGTTAATTACAGTGTGAGAAATGACAACCTTCTAAGACAAAAGATTCAAAATAGCAAAATATCTAAAATTGATGGCTATTGTTATTTACATTATATATGGTGAAGTTTTTACTCTAACAATGGAAAATCGCGACGGGTTTCTCCTTGGGAAACAAAGTGACAAAGAAAGTTTATTGTGAAATTCTGCTTCGCTGGATCGATAAACATCACACTTGCTATCGCACTCAGAAAACCGAGAAGAAGGAAAATCGGGAATATAAGAAAGATATTCCAATATAGTATTTAAGCTGTCCACAGACTTCTGAATACCACAGTAACAGAGTGTTTTACATTTTATATCAGTTGTGCGGAACTAATTTAAGGCTCTTGAATATTATTACTTGAAGGAGCTCTTTTGTTGCTGTTTCTTTTTCTTTACTAATTTTTTTTGAGAATGTCATCTAGCTTTAAATGAGTACGAACACTCACAAGGCACTCGATAACACCACTCAGCTTAAGGTAAGGCTATGTTTGGAAAGCCGGGGCTATGAATGGAGGAGAGCATTGTTCCTGTGTAGAAATTATGTATCCATTGCTCAGCACTGGAAATCTGAACTGAGAGGCGATGAGTTTCAAGCCAATCTTGCAATGTTGAATTTGAAGCTTTGTAATTGTTAAGTGCTTTGACCGATGAACGTGGACAGCGCCCTGAAAACGATGACTCGATGACATCAATACAGCAACAAAAACGAGAGTGGTGACTCACAGTGTATTTTGTATCTTAGGAGCCCAGAACGCTTTACTTTATGTAATTATTTTGTCACGAAAGGTACATTTAGGAAGGATGAGCTCAGGATTGCTATTTTTATTTAACACAACAGGAGAAATCTATTAGGTATCGATATGAACCACTTTTTGTCGAATGATTGCCCCAATATCCAACCTCGAGTAGCACTTATGACAGGAGTGACGGCAATACCCTTACCCTAATACAACAGTATAGGTATATTCATCTGGGTTTGAATGGTAGGCTGATTTCAGTGGAATAAAAAAAACAGAAGTTCTTCGGGCCAAGGTTGAAAGAAACAGTGACGGCAGTTTGTTAAGAGCTTGATGCAAATGGCTAAACAAAGGCAAATATTTAAGAAAAAAATGAAAATTCCAGTCACCATTCTGCAACTTTAGGCTTAAAAGCAGAGGAAAACAAAACTTGAATTTCTATTAGCTGACTAATCATACCGAATTGAGCTTCCCTGGCGGAAAAGGACCTAATTCAATTTAAGTACTTTTAGAGAGCCAATTCGACCCAAAAATCTATTCAAAATAATGATGATAAATCACAATAATAAAAATAATGTTAACAATAACAATCTTATTTACAGTAATGATAATAATAATAATAATTATTATTATTATAATAGTAAACCGATATTAATACAGCAAAGACATCTAGAAACTATCGTGATTTCAAGACAAATCGATTTGCTTTTAAATCCTTTAGTTTCAGTGTCTTATCTCATGCATGTGTGATAACTTTTCCAACTGCTCATTTTATTGCGAGATGCTGATGTTAACTCAAACTCAAGAACTGGTATCTCTTTTATGTTCTTTCTTGGTCTATTTATCTTTAAATCATTGCTTTATATGAAGAGATACAACAAGGCTGAACTTTAACCTTGTTATTGCGTTTGATGAACAAAACATGTTGCAAACGAACGGAATCCAAAACTCGTTGAAAGGTTTACCACAAATCAGTTTAAATTATTTCTGAAATCGATGCGTCAATTGCGATATGGTTTGTGGACTAGACACCAATCAAATAAAAGACACGTGTGGAAAACATTTCTTTTTGTGAAAAGGAAAGAAACATCAGGTTTGAGTGGCTGTTGCTACTTTGCACTCTAAAAAGAAGACAAGTACTGTGCCTTAAGGGCACCCATTTATCGCATTTAAAAGCCAGCTTTTGCATGATGAATGGAGATCGTGCTCTTGTTAGAGGTGTAAGTAATTATCTTAGCCTTTAGCGTGCTTAAATATTCTGAATCAATTCTACGAAACTTCAAATCATATAACATTGAAAGAATCAGCCGAAACTGGGACTTATCCGGAAAGTTCACGAGGCAATATAGTAGTATTTTTTCTCATCTTGTTTTTCTCGCAATAATCAATAATTCTTACACCTTTTCATGCCAGTGCGAAGAAGCAGAATCAAGTTATTCGATCTTCTACCTTTGGAAATGCATTGAGCTTTTTACTAGTAAGATCAAGAAACAGTTTATAGGATTGTCTGAATATTCTATGCCACGCATGAAGTGTTGGAAATCCGTAAAAAAGCATCAGTAATATTGATAATGATAGAACCTGAGCAACTATCTATGAAAACAATGATTCATCAAATAAATTTGATTCTTCTGGCAATCTTTGTAATGTGGCCCATGATGAAATGTTTGTAGGTTCTAAGATTGACGATTATTATCTAAAGTTATGAAAAAACAAGCTTTTTTCAATGTTGCTTCTTGCCGTCAGGCAATTGGCAACAATCACGAATGCATATTACTATGTGATACAAACTTTGCCGGGTTATCCATCATTCGAATGGAAAATTTTCATTTAAAGCTTAATCTCACCGATTTTGAAGGTAATCTACGGTAAACCCAAAAGGAAAAATAGTCAAAGGCACCGATAAACAGTTTCATAACTTGAACAAACTCAAACTCATAAAGCAATTAAGCTTACCGTCAGGATTATGTACAGCGGCAAAGCCAGTGTTGATCAATAAAAGGACGCTAATGCACCTCATCTCCTGAAGACATAAATCTGACTCAGTTGACTTGAGCTCTGACTACTGCTAAACGAGATCTTTTCGTAAACGAAATGCAGCAAACACAATTTCAGAACTTTATAGTCATCTGAGCATCCAACATCAATTTTATATCGGCTTGTCACGTATTGAGTCAATACTGATCTCTTTTAATTGCAACAAAAATGCATTTATTTAATTTAAAACTACTTATTCGCCTCACGTTTCAGTGTTGAAGTGATACGTCATTCAAAAGCATTCCGGAAAACAAATAAACATATCAAAAATGACTGATGATTAAAACGAGCTTGTCATTTCGGTTTGCTTAATAGTTCTCTAGTTGATCTTAAAGTCGTAAATAATGTCTATTCCCACAAATCATATAAGTTATATTTGAGCAGATTTTAATTCTGCCCATTTATAAAATTGATGTTTACATGTTTGACGTCTTTTTGGAGTCAACAAGTAGCCTTTTTATGTTAGAGAAAGTGCAGAGTGGAGGTAGTTGGGCTCTAGCCAGCAGATTTGTTGGTCTGTCGATGAACACTTCAAAGCAATCGATGATCACAATCACCTTTCGATTAAATGTGTATCGGAAACATACCGGCATAGTTTTCCCAAAACTGTTCTCTGTCAGGCCAATGAATAAAACAGAGAGCCTCAGATCCATAGCAATTATCCATGACGAGAATATCTTGACACACTTGAAAGGGACACTACAAATCAGTACGCTAAATCTTGGAATGCAACGTTCAAACGGAGTTTCATCAGAACCATAAAAAATTATTGAAATCTATTTAATATTGTAGAACCAGGTCGTCGTGACAAATGTGGAACTACATGCTCGAAAACTATCATAAAGACTTCATAGGATGGTAGACTAGTGTAAAAATGAGCTTTCTCAGGACAATTAAAATAATATTTGTCTCGGACTCGATGTACAAAGCTTGTAAGCATATAATTGAATTTTCTGTCTTTGTTTTAGCGTTTTCTGTTCCTCCCATAGTATCTCAAAGTCATCAGTCGAAGTTAATTTGTCCACCTGAATGATCTCGTCATTTTCTTCGTCACCATCACAGCTTGTACTACAAGAAGGCTCGTTAAGATTGGTATATAAGCTAGATGAGCTAGCAGCTGAAGCAATATCAAGGATAGGGAGTCCACTTTGATTCAACTCTTTTCTTTTCTTAGCGGCTTCGATTTCTTGTCGCTCTAATTCGTGTTTCCTCCGTTCTTTAACCCTTTCGCCTCTAGCTTTTGCTGCTTCAGCATCACTCTCTTTAGGCGTCTTTGATTGTTTCTTTCCAAGGTTAAGAGTTGGTACCCAGTCGAAGTTAAAAGCGTCCCCATATTTTGCAGCTTTTCCGGAAACAAAGTGACGACCGCAGACTCGTTCGCTGTCGAGGACTCTCTTTGTTTTTGTGTCTTCTCGACTGATGGCCGCAATCCAGCGTTTTCTTTTTATTTCTTGTGCGTTCTTCGTGCTCTTGTCCTTGGTTTGTAACGATTTTGGGGATGGAATGGAAGCTTACTTTATGTTTTCCGCCGCTTTAAAAACCACATCCAACAACTATACTGTACGAACCATACTTCACGCTTCTCTGTGATTGTTTACGCTTAAGGGGCACAAAGATGGCGGATAGCAACCGTTGTCAAGGATAGTGTCACGTGGGTGAAAGTCAGGAATAGAAGTTTTGAATATATCTGTTCTGTCGATCTTTTAAAGACAAACCATTTTTAGGGCGCCGCTTTTATTGAACCAGTTTCAATAACATACAACATGAACTCATGCAACAGCTTGTGGTTATTCAAATGCGCCTGTGATCTTAAGACACGAAAGTTACGTGAGTGGAACAAAGAATCCCCTTTCAAGGAAAATATTGAAGGGGTTTTTGCACAAAAGGAGCGTGCTGAAGAAGGGGAGTTAAAGGAATTTGATTTTTAGGATCATGTCTCACATATGATCCAAGAGCACCCAGGATATTCAGGTGCATTTTTGCCCTTAAATTTTATTTTTGTTAAAAAAAAATTTAAGCATTCTTTTTTATCAAAGGAAGCCCACAAACCTTCCGATAAGCCCTTACTTTATTGTATAATGAATAAAGAAACATTTTATATCAATTCCTTCTTAAAAACGCTACAACCATGAGCGCAAAATGCTTAGAAGAATTTGCTGTTGACTTTCTATACTTGTGCAATATCAACTAGTCTTCTTCCTGAAAACCATCATGTTAGAATACTTCAAGAGGAGTGGAAAAAAAAAAGAATTTAAGAAAAAGAGGAAATATTTTCTTTGATTGCTTATTTCTGGAAATGAGACACGTTAAGGTCTAACAGCTTTTAGCATCGCTTGTTACAGGTCTTCTCGCAGTATGAGGAAACGAAACTGGGTACACAAGTAAACGCACTTTTCAGAATGTTACAGAGGTTCGCGGAAAGGTTGTCTCTGCAGCTCACTACGATGAAGAAAAAAAAATCAGTTATTAGGTGCTTACATCTAATCAAGAGTTGTTTTTTTAATGCTGTGGGTAGATAATAAAAGTAGTTCCAATTATGTCCTTCCCATAAAAGAGGCAGGGTTCTCTTATTAAAAAAAAAACAAAAAAACAATACAAAACAAAAAACAAAGTATTTTTAAATCAGCTACATTTCCAAGGAGTATCATGCGCTGTGCGTCAGTTTTCGAGGAATACTTAGCTTGTTGTAGCTCACACAGAAAGAAAGGCAACCCTTTTGTATATGCTCCCCAATTTAGACAGGAAAGGCCAAAGCAACTCCCCTTCCCCTCCTGGGATATTCCCTGCCCTACCCTTAAAATCCTAGATGATCGGGGAATTCATTGTTTCCCAACCGTCTCAGAGTTTTCCGACAAATGAAAACTCGATCGAAATCAAATACATTTTCGACTGTCTGGGATAGTCGGCGACAGTCTGGAAAATCCGTCCCAGATTTCTGCAATAACTGGAGATCACTGAAGAGGGCGGACGCTCCTATTTATACGGTGTCGGTGATTGCTTTAGTTTCCTGCTAGTCGTCAAATTACTTGACCAGCACCCCCGAGTCACAAATAACTTGGGGTCTGCAAACCACCAAGACAAACTTCTGGCGATCTCCCAATATATCTGCAAAATCTGAAACGGTCTGGAACGTGTGACTTATTTTACGTCCCCAGCTGACCATAACAGGGAGAGTACAAGAAGAGGTTTGCAAATTTTCATCATTATTCGATGAGTCGAGAATGTCTCACTATTTGCATGTTTCATCAAAAAGGCAGCACATTCTCCTCAGTTCTCTCAAGACACTTATTCTTGTTCTCGTTAATATCTCTCAGTTGAATCACGCAATAGTTTCCAGGTTATAGGAAGATGAACAATTTTTATCGAGGCAGTTTTTAAAGTTTACCTGTTGGTGGTTGAGTAGTCTTTGGCGGTTGAGTAGTTGTTGGCGGCAAAGTTGTGGTTTCTACAGATACAGAAATAGATATGAAAAGTTTCAGTAGAATGTTAAAAAAAATACTGCGATGAGGTTTAAATGGCAATAACGTGGTATTTTGTCTGAGATCAAAACCTTTATCCCTTCGAAGACGCGCCGCCATGTTGAAGGTACTCTTAAAACCTCATGATATACGTGAACCACTCAGATATAACTTGGGACAGTTAAGCGATTCAAAGCCCTTCTCAAGACCTTTACATCCTGCTGTTTTATGTATGTACATGATAGAATGGAAAAATCTTGTGGAAAAAAAAATTAACCGCCTATTTTGACATAGATATACGACTTTACAGCGTTTTAAGACTTTCAAATAAAGAAAAAAACAACAACAACAAATAAATAAGAAAAAGCAAAATATAAAGAAGCAAAAGAAGAGAGAAAAAGTCTTACTCTTAAAGAATATTACATATCCATTTCATCGTCCATATAATGATGAGAGATTTATGATATAAGATTTTTCCCTGTCTCATATTTCATATCGTTATCAAATGTTTCACCTTTTCGTAGGCCACATCGATAAAGAAGATTCGCTTGCTCTGCGTCAACAGGGCTTAAGCCATTTCGTTGCCCAATTTTTTGCTAGGAGATGAAAGTATACAATAAAAGTGAGCTGCAATCGATTAGTTTTGCATGATTAAGAGTCGAAGTCGCCAAGTGGCGGTGGCTCTATCAAAAGTTCTATGTGGTGACAATTCTGCCTCTCGGCTCCAGCAAGAGAGGCAGAGAAGGGAAAAAAAATTTACCTTCTAGTCGTGATTGTGGCGTTGGCATGTTAGACACCACGGAAATCGGGGCAAGCTCCAGTAACAAAGTTGATAATAGGGAAACCTTATAATCAAAGATTTAATTAAATGAATATTTTTCTTCATATCAAACTCTGGTTAGTCAAGCTAAGAAAGATTCTGTAGTTGACGTCGCGTTTAGGGGTGGAAATGCTCCTTTACCTCTGCACTGACTTCGAGTGATCTTCCATTTACTACTCAGTTTGACGAACTTTAAAAACCTTGCTTTTTACATACCCCCGTTTGTTTAACCACTATTGTTGGTTGGTTGTTTCTGCTGAATGCAAATGCCCCATAATGCATCACGCTCCCATAATCGTATGGAGTACCAAGAGAATCAATCGTTGACCGGCTGTATTTTCGAAAATTACTCTCTTTGTCTGAAATTCAAAAATGCATAAAAATACGTATACAGTCGACCCTCCCTCTGCGACCATCTCTCGTTTGCGACCACCTCTCATTAGCCACCACTTTTTCAAAATAGCACAAATTTCCAAGTCAAATCGCTATAAATGGAACCTCTTAAAGATGACCACATCTGGTCAATTGATTTAAACCTCCCATAGGTGATGACCAGCTGACAGACAATCAACTTTTTGGTTTTTCTACTTTCCTTTTTATTGTCCCTATAATTTACATAAGCTTTTTAATGGCACATACAGTATTTTTAAAATTTCAACGTTTTTGAAAACGAGTATATATATGTACTCTACTGTATAAAAAAACAATTGTATTTGCCAAGTTAGTTTTAATTGGATTTTTCACCCCGATAAGACTTCTCATTGTTGACTATCAATCTTTGCCTAAACCAAAGCAGCAGTATAACGTACCTGTTTCAATGTTATCCCATAATATCGTAACAAACTCGTCTCTGTCAGGTCGTGATTGCTCATGGTAGAAACCAAGTGCATGAGCTGGAGAAGAAATTTAATTAGGTTGCGATTACGACAAATTGTAATTAATTGACACAATTTTCAGTATCAATCGAGAAACACTGAAAGATGTCCACAAAGAGGAAGAAACTCAGTTTAACCTAGCATTGAATATGAGGAGGGTTTGTACACTTGGGGATGCTGCAGAGTCCAAGAAAATAAAATGCAATAGAAAAACATTACAAACAGTGTAAAAGAAAAGGGTTTAGATTTGCCAAATACTGCGTTGCCCTAAGGTATGCTGCAAACACTATTCATACCAAAATATCAGGACACGTCAATTTTGAAATTAACGTGAATAGGACAATAAAAAGAAGACCTGACCTGACCTTCATGAAAAAATATAGTTGTCTGTTGCGCTTAACTTCTTCTTAAGTTGAGTTTTCCGTATTAGAATTATGCCTAACAGACTTCTCTGAAAATCGCTCGAAACGGTTTCTAAGTACCATTAGCTCTGGAACAATTTGGCCAATATAAATGTAACACAGAAAGACCCTTTCATCGATTTTCTAATTAATGATTTTGTTTTAAATGTTTATTGTTGCCTTAAGTCGCAGAAAAATAACAAAAAGCAGTGATAAAAAACCAAAAACCGAGGATGAAAATGAAAATTACCAATTTCGTGAGTTACAGTTCCTCTCCACCAACAGCCGTTACTTAGAGAGATCGGTTGGCGACCTCCACGTCGACCAACATATGACCAGCATCTAATTATAAACAGGGAACAAAGTCAATACTGGAGATGTAAAGAGTTCCTTCACAATCCTCTATCCACTAAAACTGTGTTCGCTTAACGCTGAAATAAAATGCTTTTTATTGAATAAATTAAAATAGAATCGTGCTGGGACCTTTCCTTTATTGCATCGCGTGTACATGTATCAAGGAAGTCTCCCGCATGTTGATGGCATTGCAGTAAGTTTGATTGGGTAGGAATGACGGGAGCTTAAATCTTATGACGGCACGGCCTTTTCTGAAACGGGTCAGTAAGTCCATAGTTTGAGCTGGAAAAGTCAGATTAATACTCTCTCGATAACTGTGACAGCTAATCAGAATTTCCATACCCTGAACTGTCATTCGAAGGGGACTTATCTTTACCTAGCTAGTATTCTGGCCATAAAATTCAGTATCGAAGGTTATGGATTCTTAATGGTTTTTTCGTCAAGAACAGAGATTGTAATTTCGGGATAATCATCTCGGAATTTAAGGGTATCCTATCTTGACACATTATATCTTCTTGCCTGGCGTCAAACTGTTCAAATTCTGTTCTGCACAAATCGGAGTGTATGCATGGAGAAGATTTTCTAGTAGTAAGATCCAGCCGTTACTTTCTTGAGGACAGACATGGTTCTTATGCCTTTTTTTTTTTTTTTTTTTTTTTTTATTCTTAGTTTTAAAAAAGCCAAAAGGATCGGTAACTTGTTTTAAAATACACAACAGATGGAGAGCCGTTCGACAGAAAACCGTTAATAGAACATATTTTAACTCTTGGAAACAAACCAATCACAGAGGAGAAAATACTCATACGGTGACGTTCAATTGACGTTTACTTACCCTCCTCCATCGCCAAAAATGATGTAATCGCTTTCACCTTCTCTTTCCTTAAATCGGAGACAAGTTTTTGAAGTCCATTCTGCCAATCCTTGATTAATGGCATTCACAGCGCGAGGAATACCACCTTAAAGCAAAATATACCAGGTGGTCAGAGACTTGGAAGTTGTTGGTGTCAAAGTGGATAGAGGTCGAGTGAAACCTAACTGGAGAGGAGGTGTCTGAACATACTTAAATGATATGCTGAATTTCACACATATTTTGATTGTTTCTTACCTATGATCTATCGGATGGCAGACGCGTAGATGGGCTCACTATTTACAAATTTTTGTTTCGTTATTATAGAGCCAAACGTGCGCTTCACCCTGGACATACAAACAGGGGGAGGGGAGGGGAGGGGGGCATGACGAGACAAAAATTATAATGGAAAAACAGCCCGCCATGTTGGATGACATTACTACCGCCACCGCAAGCTTATAACTTCGTACCACGGTGGGGGTATGAATTTAGATGCACTTCCGAGGGTTAACCTTGAAAATAAATATACCTGGGGTCACAGAGAATCCATTACAGAGAATTACAGACTTACTATGAACTTACTTATACTTGGGTGGATTTCATAGGGTACCAATCCATTCGGCCATAGAGAGTTATCTGCTATTGAGCCTCGTTTTCGAGAGCTGTCGACATCCAATCCGTGTTCGATATTATACACCTGCTTTTTTGTAAGACGCATGTCTCCTTCAACTAGGATTTTGCTTTCAATACCCATATTTTCTGAAAAATGATGAAAATAAAGATAGCTTAATCTCATCTAAACGCGTGATATAGCAGGCGATATATCAGAGACTTGGACCTCACAATAAGACTTATAATTATTCTGCTCTTATTGTTTTTATATCCTTATGGCTTGGGAAACTGTCTTCCTTTAAGCAGTTTGAGTAGGAATGTGATAGCTTCTGCATTTTTTGGGCAAAGAAATCGTCTTTCCTTCCGATAGATCTATCTAATATCTTTCCGGAAATTCCGATGAAAAGATGCGATATCCGTGGTGTGTTACACATTCAACCCTTAGAGATACCGACCGTGTAACACTATCGATTAATATTTCAGTTTTGACTAATACTTGAATTAACTAATCAAATATTCAGGCTGTCCTTGAACTTTTAACCAAACCACCGTACTCTTCATTTTGTTCCAAAAACAAGCAAGATTGGTTTGCTCGTGAGATGCAACATTTAAATAGACTTAATGTTGACATTGAGATTTGCTGAAAATCTATGTCGCTTGTCACGCTTTCCTTGATATATCGCAAAGAAGGTCATCTCGTCTTGGCCTGGAATTAATTTGAAATAAATTCTCCCAACATAAAACACGAGGGACAGCCGGTCATGTCGAAAGAAAACAAGAACTGCTTTTAGAATGGCACGTACAAGCCCGAATCTCAAGGGAATTTGTATATTTAAGACAACCTTTTTTTTTTCTTACTTTAGTCGCACTTTGAATTGAAGTTGTTTGTATAGGGATTTGAGTGATCGGTGTGATTATTTTTATAGCGAAAGATGTAAGTGCCGTACGTAGATTGGACGAGAAACTAAGTGCAGTGCAGGAAGTCAACCAGATTTTCCCGATCGCTTGCAAGATGAAATTCAAATTCATTCTACGGCAACCTGCAACTATGTTTTTTCCTTGTCAGTATTCAAACGGAGTGAAATACGGGCACCATCCATTACCATTATCATCATTCAACTGGTTTTCCGTAGACTTTTGGGAGTCAACACTACTAAAATCCGACAGTTATGTTTATGCCTATGTACGCGTGTCACGTACGCAATACCATTGGAGCAAATCATTCAAGTATAAGTTTGTATTAACATAAGAAATAAACATGTGCGACGAGTTCTTTTGAGATAATTTCTGATGAATCATTCTATATCTCTATAGTTAAAAAAGAAAAAAGGCAAAAAAACCGAGCAAAACAATGGATATCTTTGACTTGTTTTCTCGCTTGCTTAATGAGAGCAGGTTCGACCAGTTGCCATTTTTAAGATATGTAAACAGATGCGTTAGTGTCCTAGACAATTATTTAGCGAGGTTGTAACGATAATCCGTAACACATCTGGCTTGTCTACTCTCAAAAAACCCTCCCTGTGCTTTTAGACTATAAGTTTTTTTTTGTTATTTTGAGAAGTGGAGGTTATTTCAACCTTTTAACCTCGCATAACTTGATGGTCTTAATGTTAATACTGTTCATAAAAGAGATATTATTGACCAAAACCCCTAGGGTTAAAAAATTAATGATAAAATTATGTTCATGATGACAGATTTGACATTTTCTACAGCCTTTGTGATTCCTCAAGCTTACCGTCAGCAGTATGGCCATGTGGTGCGCAGAGAACTGTTCTGAACAACGCAAGAGCTACCAACCACTTCATGTCGAGTCAGTTTAACATAAACTGTATACCTGTGAAAATCTGTCGAAAATACAGCGTAGTCTTAAAGTGAAATCTCAAGGCCGCATCTCGAATTTATATAGAGTGTCAACCAGTTACAGGCTGGTATCGACAATGGATAATATTGATGCCCAATAATGCATATACAGGCAACCGCAAATTTACCGTTTCGGCAAGAGCAATATTTCGTTTTGGGTCAAAAATTGATGGACGGTATCCTACAAATTAAGAATTACATTTTATTCATCAATATTTTATTGGGTCGTTCTGCTTTCTTTTAGCTACACTTTTCTGTTATTTATTAGTATTTTCGCGATACAAATTTAAACAAACTTTTCGATTTCGAGAGGTCAAACGTTTTTGACTGTGCTTGCAAACAGAATAGCGGGAAATTTCGTACGCACAGTATTTCCTTTAAAGCACACTTCATCAACAAATTCTAGCGTCGCAAGTGTATCAGAGCAAACATCTCCGGTCCACTGGAATACGCAAGAAGACCGTGGGAACATTAGCACTTACATCATGAAGTTGATATCGACAGGTCAAGATTGCGGCGGAAACTGGACTGGCGACAAACTTACGCAAGATGAGTGTTACGTTAACTAAACTTGGTGATAACTGTCTTTTCAGAACAGACTGCTAGATAACTTATGTTCGTAACACGCCTAACTAAAAGATCGATATCTCAATTCAGTTCGTCTAATCCAGCCCTAATTTCATCGACATACTATCTTATATAACGTCTTTTAATTATCTTCCCGTTGTTTCCTTTTTGTTTGTTTTTTACTCTTTCTTCAACAATTAATCAACGCTTAAACCTGACAGTGCTCTTTTCCCGCCGATTTATTGCGGTTTATTGAGAAATTGCGGTTAAGAAGCCCTAGATATCAATACAAACAAGATACGAGTATTTGACCACACTCCCTTTTTTTCTGACCTACATCCGTAGACTCAGAGCATAGCCCCTTTTTAGGTATGAGCAATGGTATTGCGAAAAACTTGAGGGGAAACAGTTTGATGAAAGGCCTGAACCTTCTAGACAAGCCTAAGGGAATGCTAAGTTAGAGGAAGCAACACAAAACCATGTGCTTACAGTGCTGATAATAATTACTTTAAGCGACAATAAAAACGGGAAAAAAAGAGCAAAATGAGAAAACTAGTTGTGGCAGCCTGTTAAAGGTATTTTACTTTGGATATTTCCCACTTTTTTGAGCTAAAGTGAAATTGGGGCTTTTTCTAAATATAATACTTATAAAGGATCCTCTATTTCTTTCTTGTGATTCCACTACAATCTAAAAATCGAGGGGCCTTTTTTGATTTTTTACGACGTTGTACAACTCAGAAACTTTATTCCCACTAGGGCGCTCTCCGACAATTTCACACGTAGCATCATGTATCCAACTAACATGTAAATTTGAACTAAAACAGTTGTTTAAATAAAAAAAGAAAAATTGTTTTGTCCAATCATTAGCTTAAATAACAATTCCTGTGATTTAGTGTGCAATTCAAATAAAAACCGTCAAATAAATTTATCATAACAACAGTCTTGTTCGATACATCTTTCTCGGTTATGATTATAAGGAAGACTAATTGTGTTTATTTTTACTGATATTTCTGTGTAGATAACTGCATCCTCCACTGCTTAATTTGCCGGGTTTTTTTATATGAAATTCTTATTTTAATTGGGAACACCAATACAAAAGCTGCTTACTGTTTGAGCAGACGAAACTAGCCAAAAGGAAATATTCTCAGAGACCTTTTCAGAGGAATGCTATTAAAGAAGGAGAATCGAGTTATGATGAGGTTTCGTTTGGTTTTGTTTCATTTTGAGTTTTTTCTTTTTTTATTTTGTGTTTTATTTCAAGTATTTTGTTTTACTTTTTCATCAGTTTTGATGTATTTTTTTTGTTTTGTTTGTTTAAATGTTGGGAGCCAAAATGTGAAAGTAATAACTTTCTTCGGATGAACCGAATTTTCGAACAAAGAGTTTTATGTTTGCACCTTTGGCTTTGCTCTATAAAAAAGTGCATGCTCAATTGATCGCAACGCAGAATAACTCACTTTATGGTAAATTACTTTTATTCTCATTCATTGGATAGATGGGCACACATAAATGACTGAGCGACATTACATCCAGCTTCAATCAGCCTGAAAAAAAAAAAAAAAAAAAAAAAAAAAAAAAGGTTGATGCTGAAAAAGATTTATACTTGGTTCTTTATTGATCCTGGCCCTGGCTGAAGCCAATTAGTGTATCGCTGAATAAACAATTACTGAACTGGAAAAGAGACTTTAATTTTTGCCTTAAGTATATTCATTTGGAACAAATCGCTTATACCACCTTTCTTCTACCATAGCAAACAATACTGAAGGCCACAAAAGGATTAAACAGTATTTACACCTTTTAACAACCTCATATGCCTACATTTGTCATAGCCTATTCTTCTTTGAATAGGATTATAGGCTCAAGATCTCTATCGCGTGATTGTTGATGAAGGCGAAGCTCGAATCAGCTGCCTTGCGAAGTAATCGAGAACAAATAATCTAATTTTTTTTAGTGTAAATCTATCAGACGTGGAAAACTTATCGACAATGCAGGTTGGTGTTTTTTATTTCATTTTGTTTACAACCGTACACTGTTTGGCTACTCACTTCACATACTTGCTATCACGGATATTTAGCGAGTAGCGTAGCCAGTCATGCTCATGACAATATATCTGGAACGCTTGTAGAGTTCTTTTAATATTACATAGGGAGATACACATCCGCTAATTAAGTATGCATATAGTCATCACAGATGTATTTTACATTTCTACCCTTATAAGGCAATTTCAAAACATGAACATTAAATATGACTTAAAGTCCAACGTACCCTTTTGTTTTACCTTTGTGAAGTTTATGAACACATGTTGCACGATTTCTTGCAGTTCTGTTTCACATAGTTGTTAGTGGAACAATATTTGGTCCAACCAGGGCAATTCGTGTTTTTGTCCACACAGCTACTGCCACCTATCACAAAAACGATGATGAAGTAGATATTAACTTAAGAAAACCGCAACAGGCCGTTCATCGATTCGCACAATTTTAAACGTGATATGATAATGCTAAACCGCGCAAACTACAGCTTCTCACTTGCGTAAGCCATTGGCCGTGATGCGATTTTGCAAATTACTGTGGTTTAGCATGGTGTGTACTCTTATTGACAACGATATTCGTCATCACGGCAGTCAAAATATTGTGGACTAACGAGGTCAGTGCGTGACCATTGCGTGACACATTGACGCGAGCAGCTACTGTCTGTGCTCTTATCGACAACGACAAATTGGCTAATCACATTGCAACACTACCTGAGCATTGCTGACTGTAGAGGAGATTCATCTGCTGAGCGTCTATTTTACTGATGCCTTTTCTCTGACCAATCTTAACCTGTGAAAAAGAAGATATTGACCAAAACCTGATACAAGTCATGTTAAAATTTGTACAAAACTCACTAATGAGATCAAGATGTATGGCGAATAAAGTAATTCAAATAATCGGGACGCTTGTTGTTTCGACGAACTTTAAATTTCGAGTCAGTCACTTTGAATGAGGATTCGTTTTAAACGTTTGAACAGAAATACGCGACAGACAGTCATTCGCACGAAAGTTCTCGCGTATTTACTCTTACACAGCAACAACAACAAAGTGCAAACTCGCCGTTTCTCTATCGTTATTATTAATGCAAACAGTGGGAAAGTTATATCTCTGGTATCATGGGGTTTTGCATCTTGGGTGCCCCATTTAGGTCAAATCTTAGAGTCTCCTGTTTTAACTTTGTCTACATTACCGATATCCCATGAAAAGTTCGCCGCAACTGCAATCTTTATCACTGTATGGTAATGCTATCTGATAATACGATCAGTAAAAGTAACTTTGAGGCAAAGATTATACTAATTTCATTGAATATTGTATATTAAACAAAGTTTTTGTGCGACGTACGTTGGATTGTCTAGGAACGATTGTTGGTAATCCGTTTTTGGAAAAAGCTCTTCCTCCATAATGCATCACACTTCCGTAATCATACGGGGTTTTGAGAGAATCAATAGTGGATTTGGAGTACTTCTTGAAATTGAACTTGTTCTCTGAAAACATAAATGAATAAAGTTTTCGTCATTAGGAAAATTTTTTTTACAATCAGTAGTTATGGTTTTCCTTTTTTCCGGGCTCTGCAGTTTTGTGCCACATTTCTTGTGTAGGGAACGACTTTGAAACTGAAGTGAAAAAAGAAATCTTAAGAGGCGTAAATTGTTAAGGTTGTTAACGTTTTTAAAACGTATTTAATAATTTGCTTTTTACCCCTATCTTATATTAGGGGTCTTTTATTATGTATTTATCAGCTGAAATTCGGGTCTAATAAGGTTCCATTTTGACTAACAAGCTTTACGGATATCTTGTGGTCTTAAAGGAATCTCCGCGTAATGATTTAACTATGCATTTCTTTCCGTAATAAATATGGAACACATGATTATGCTACCTAATCGTGATTACCTTTCGACCACGCTGTCACTTTATATTGCTTTTTTATGACATTGAGAGTAAAGGTTTAATTTTCGTATAACCTAAGGGAAGGGACGCTTTTGAATATTGCTCGAACTAAATACAAAGGGCACAGATTTCTCTCCGAAAGATGAACCGCTGTGGCGATACATCACTAGATGGATATATCGAAATCGCAGCAGCAGTATTTCGCTTGACCTATATATCGTGATGACGTGTCCCGCGTTTTACATTGCGTCGTTGTAGTGGTATTATGCTAAAACGATATTCCCGAGATATCGAGGGAATGTCATAGCGTTCAGCTTTTTAGCGTCTCGGTTCACTTCGCGATATATCGCCGTATTTCCGCATTATCTGGGAAGAATAATATTCATCGAAGTGGAGGTGAAAAGTGATAACTTATTTTTATTTTTGAATAATTGTTTTAGTAAATACCAAACAGACACCTCAGAAACAGTTTATTTGTCTCAATATACCGAAATAATGGTCGGACATTTACTTATGACGCTCGAATTGCCTCTTCGGCTACTTGGGGGTGAATAGTACTTGCTACTCACTTCCGAAATAGTCAATCAGCGGGCATGAAAAGCAGTATTCACTTTTCTGGTTTTTGCTAAAGCATGATATTCGACAATAATTCTTTGTATTACTTTTGCACAGTAATGTAGTTACTTACTCTCGATTATGTTGTCCCACATAATTGTGACGTGGGCATCCCTGTCAGGTCTGGATTGTTCATGGTAAAAGCCCAAAGCATGACCTAGCAAAAGTTTTCGTTTCTTTATCATCGTTGCATGTTTTAATTTGAATTAAAGGAAGTTTGCCTTTTGCCTAAGTTTGTTATACTTTCATAGAAATTTTGAAGTCGACACAAGTATCAGTACTCCTACATGGAGCAGTTACCAAACCCTTGCCGCGTACACAACAACATTATGGTATCAACTTACAATGTTCCTGGCCAAGGTTCGGAATTATACTTCTCGAAAATTAGTGGCTGTTTCATATCCCGCTTCATTAACTAACCAAAAATGTTATAATACATTATGAGATTGTTTTCGTAGCAGGGAATTAATACGCGAAATACAGTCAAACCTGTGTTACGCGGCACCGTATTAAGCGGACATCTTGTATAAAGGGGTCATTTGTTAAAGTCCCGAAATTCTTTCCCCTCAAACAGTGTAATTTCCACCTCTTTTAAGCGGTTGCGACTACCCTTTACTGAGTCCCAACGACTTTTTTCCCATTGTCGCCAACCTGTATTAAACGGTCACTGAAGGCGAAACCACTCAGACTTGAAACTAAGAACAAGATGTCAAGTATACAATATCCATGGTTATCACCCAAAATCAATGCTAATAGTACTTTTGATCGAATTTTTTGCACATTAAGTGGTCATTTAGTTTGTGTCACAGCTCAGTTGCCCTGAAAGGCTCCATCCATATTCTATTTTAGAACAAGAACTATTTAGAACAAGACTTATGGATCACCTACCGATTTCATGGGCGACAATTCCAGTGTACCAACATCCACGAGCAAGGTTAATGTCTTGTTTGCGTCCCGTTCTCCCAACATATGATGAACACCTGGAAAAAATTTGGAATCAATGGTTCAAATCGTTAGCGCAGCCATATAATTTTCATGAAGTAGTTCTCAATAATCGACCACCATAATGAACTTCAACAACATATCAGAAAATCTCAACACTTCCACGGAATATCACACACCATATCTCGTTAGACTAAACAGGGAACAAGGACGTTTTGCGTCATTTTGTGTCGTCGCAAATGACTTTTAAAATAGATTCAAAAACCCAGAAACGTGTTTGCATTTGAAAGGAGAGAATAAGTCACAAAGATGTGAAGGTTGTTAAGGATTGCTTTTTGTATTGCTTTTTGTTTCGAGATGGAGTTTTCAAATTGGAATTTCATTCTTCACCATCGCTTTGCTTTAATTAAAGATTTATATATATATATATATATATATACACACACCCTTTGCCTAGTTTGAAGTTCGCATAGCTAGACTCCGTTGTTCTCGGCTTGAACTGGATACAAGTGTTCTTTGTCCATTGTTCCATTCCTGCCTTAATCGCCGCCATAGCGCGGGAGTCACTGGCTGTAATTATGGGTCAGAAGAAAATGTGTATTTTATGTTAAGAAAGGATATTTCTGAATTGTTGCGATTGATCATTGCTCTGGTTTTTTCAGAACAGTTATATTGCTTTTACTGCGCTAATCTCTTACCATTTTGTTTGTTTCCTGCTACGGAATGGGCTCGTAATTTATTAGGGAATGATCTCGTTTTTGAATAATTGAACTGTCTTTTATCTGGCCCTATTGATAGAACGTTCTGTTCTACTTACTACGTTCAACTTTTCGTTCTATATTTACTTACCACGTGCTAGTTTTACCCCACCAATTTACACTCAAAGTTATGTCTATCACAATAGATATAACACGTGTGCGACGGACACACCACTATTTGCCACTTTAAAATCGTAAAGGAAGAATACGATTTCGCACTTCACACTATTTCTCGTTTGTTTTTAGAACACACTAATGACGAACTTACAGAGACTAGAGTCAATGACGTAGTGCATCACAGCACCAGGCCACTGTCGATTTATAGTGGAGCCTCTTCCAAACGGATTGTCCACATCCAACCCAAGTTCAATCGCCATGCGTTGATCTGGATCTAAGATCATGTCTCCTTCGTAGACATCTGGATCATCGATGCCGATATTTTCTGTAATGGGAACAAATTGAGGGGACATTGAAATTGAACAATGATGGACCTTCAGAAATTCAGCTCAACCCGATTGTGCAAATAGTCGCAACACTTCTCGGTCCATCATCGCTATCGTCATGTTGCTGACGGATCTCCGTTTTCGTTTCTCTCAGCACACCGTAAAGCTTTTACAATTATACTTATTTAAATATATGGTAGAAGCTTTGGATACGTTTTCCGAATAAAGTCATGAATTAAAAACGTCCACAAAACCTTTATATTTTTCATACAAAAACTAACTTCCATGCTTAAAAAAACAAAAACTTACCGTCAGCGTTTTCTGATGCAACAAGGACCACTCCAAAAATCAAAATGGTACTAAGCCACTTCATGGTGATCTTGTTCTAGTTAGAACAGAGTGAAGGGCTCACTCAGAGTTGAGATTTTATGGAAACATTTGTCAACTCACCTGCGCGTAACAAAAGTCTTCAGTTTGATATTGTTTTCGACTATAAGCAAATTCCTGTTACTGTAGTTGACTCCTCTGTAGCTGTCATTTGTCAATCCACGTTTAAACAGCATATTAAACACTGCATTTCTGTTTTTCATTGTGAGACAAAGTGTAACACTTTATTTCAATTGCTTTTAGCGCGTGATCATCGTACTAGTGCAGTGCGCTGAAATTACTGGAAAAATCAAACACATTCCTTTGTGCGAGGAAAATGGCACCTGCTACAGCTGAAATACGTCCATTGGGGACTTGGAAAGTCATTGTGAATGCCCATTAAAAAAAAATAGAAAGAGAAATAGTTGCAACTCCATTAACATTTTTAGAAATTTGCGCTTAAAATAATAACCACTTACTTTCCAAGCTACTCAGAAAAACATTGGCAATACCCTTACACCTCGATTGAATAAAATGTATTTGCAAATTTGGACAATTACAGCAGTGCATTGTGTAAGAGTCTGTAAATAATCATGTAAATATCTCAAATTGTTGCCTTACTTTACTTTGGACAATACTCTCTCAAGGGAAATTTAATTAGTATTCCTTTGGCTAATTTGAGGCCTTTTATCAAAAAAGGCAACTTATCAACTTCATCAGGCTTACAAGTTAACGTTTGCTTGAATGTCACAGTATTATACTTCGTTGTCCTAAATTTTATATCGTTGGAAAATATATTCAGTCTTTAGCCGCCGTACGTTTAAAATCATCATATTGCAACAGCTTAAATCTGTGAAAACCATTTCTTTTCATTGCTTTTGAGTTATTTTCATTTCTTTATCTTTTCATAGGAAAACAATCGTTGTAGATGTTGACACTGGCTAATAATATTTATTTAAAAGACTTAACTGGTTTTAAAGAAAAAAGGTTCAGGTGAATCTACATTGGTTCCATTTTTACCAGCTTCTCATGCTTAAAATGTTGGAGCATTGAAATTATTGTACTTAGGTGTACAGTGGGACAATGGAACATTTCGTGATACGAATTTTCTATACCAAAATGAATATACTCATTTAATTTTTAGCATATTAAATTATTTATACGAATACATTTCGTTGGAGGAAAAAACGATCTTTCCCGAAACGATTCAACTGACATTAAAAGGGAGGCAATACTTTTGGCATTCTTCTGCGTGAAGCCACACCTATAACTCCGACTATGTAGCCGCTTCAGTATATATTAGATTTCATTCTCCTCGATGTGAAGGGAAATCGATTCACGTTTTTCTCAGTTTTTCATTCTGCCTCGCTTTTACGTGCGCGAAAACCAAATTTTGGGTTCGATATACGATAAACAAATGTGATGACCCAAGAACCTTTGTGTTTCCAAAACAGGAATCGAACAGGAAAAAGAAATCAGATCTTAGATGAGAACTGACGGCGAACGGTTAACTTGGATTAAGTTCTTGATATCGCCTATTGCTGTAATCAATCTTACGAAAATATAATTTTTAGCGTTGACGGAATTCTTTGGTGTGGGACACGGGCCGCGTTTTTTCAATCTTGGACAGGCACACCAATTTCATATAAATTTCCTACGAGGCCAATGTGAAATCATCAATGAATTGTGACCGTTTCATTTCGCATCCCTCCCCCCCCCAAAAAAAAAATGCTTACTTACAAAATAAAGTGCTTTGAGACTCTTTATCAGTGTGATCACAATTACGCATTGACTTTTTAGTACGCGACCGAGAAGAAGCAAGGCATCTATGATTCTATTATTCTGTTGCATTTGGTCGTTTACTATTTTCATTACCTTCTTGTTTGCTTTGACAACCAGGAATTACTTGCAAATAAAGGTGGGCATGAATGGAATCAAATCAAGTGAGAGCAGCATTTGAGAGCCAGCTTCCTTTTCGAAGTTGAGAAGAAAAGACATATGGGAATCAAAATGAGGTTTTTCTGCCAGTTTTATTCTATTAACCCACTCTACATAAAGTTAAACTACAACGGCACTTCCCCGAAAATGGCACATGACCTGCAAGGGAAAACAGCATTGAATGTTTAGGTATCATTGAGAGCAAAACCAAATAAGTTAAAATCGGGTCATGCGCACTTTCAGAAAATATATATGAAAATTTAAGTGAGCTAAATATAAAATTTTCACAAACTATCACTTCTCCTGTTTAGTTTCTCTATAAAAAAAAGTAAATAAATAAATGGGTAGAATTGTTAACGAGAGAATTTGAAACGCTCGAAAAAGGTTGCAATAGGCTGGGCCTGTTTCCAAACATAGCTAACGATGGAGCGCAGGCCTAGGTTTTATTGATCGAACCTCCAGTGTTTTCGCATGGATCGAGCCTCCAGTGTTAGTGATATTTCATTAATCAGGACCCAGATAGGCAACTTATTCTGCGCGGAAGTAAATTGTAAGCCAAATTTACGACTTACTGTTTTGTAAAAATAACTTGTTCATCATATATTCAATTTTTTTCCTCCTTATGTGGAAATGGTTGAGAGCCAAATGAGCAAAGTTGATACTTAAAGGTACTGTTTTTAATGATCTTGTTGGTAGATTAAAATTTCTTTGAAAGGAAGACTCTGGAAGTCCAGGAAAGTGTTAGTTTTTCCATCTTGACTATGTTCCCTTAAAAATTAGCCGAAATAGACCAATTGTGAAATTCACATTTGCATAGGAGTACAATCTTACGAAATGCTTAAATTTCTATGCAAGATTTCGTTTACGGTGAGTGATTTGGATTAAATCAAATATCATATTTGGAGTTATAAATGTGATAATTCAGATTTAGAACATTTGAAAGTCCTTTGCCGATGTGAATAATGATTTTAAAATTTTGATCACGGATAATTCATCGGCTCCTCAAGCAGCTTAATTATTTTAAATGCAAAACCCTTTCATTCGTGTTATAAATTTCAATGCAAGTCATTCCATTGAGGGTGAATATTTTCAAACTTCTAAAAACCAATGAGGACCAAGCTGGGGGGGGGGGGGGGGGTGGAGGGAGATTTCATGGAGCATTTCTTCTGACCACGTCGGAGGTGTACAAGAGTTTGTAAGTTCCAAGACTGCTAAAATTTATTTTAGAATGAATTGTAACCTTTTTTTCGTTGCTGATTAACATAGTTTGCAGGTCTTCTTGCAGTTTGCCCTCACGTATCGGTGATAGCTGCAATATCTCGTCCATCCGCTACATCTGTTATCCTTATCTTGACAATTTCCTAAAAGATAACAGTGGACGTTTTGTCAGGATAGACACAGCTGTCAAAAGCTTACGTATGGCGCAAACGTTGAAGTGGCAAGGTTGCTTACTTTAGGGCTGTCAGAACCAAGTTATCTTATAGGAATTATGGGTAACTACGTAAGGCATTATGTCACGGTAATTCAAAGGCGTGCACCTTTTTTCGATCAAGATCTAAACAGAATGGTAAATCAATAGAACTCCTTTAATGAAATAAACTTTGTGTTGGAAAAGTCTCGTTTGCCTTTTTCATTATTTTTGTTTCCCTATATGGACTTATAGATCTGTTTCCATCTTTCTCCAAAATATTGCATGAAAGAAGTATCTTGTAGTACCCATATAATTCCGATAATACTATGAAATAAAGCAATTATTGGATGAGGTTGGACATAATATCATGACTTATCGAAGCTGAAGAATTTACCTGATCCTCTCATCAAGCGCTGTAATATGCCAATTATCTCTTACTGGCACTTTACCCTCCGTTTCCCCTAAACACTTGGTGACCCCGCCCCCCTAAAATCTTCCAACCCCCACCCGCCAGTGATAAACAACGAACGGTCTCATATTTTTTTTTCATGTTTTTTTTTGGTTGCGCGATGATTGTGTAAGCAATCATTACTACACACCTCCACCTCCCCCTCCACCACCAACTCCTCCTCCTCCTCCTCCTCCTCCTCCACACTGGCTCTTGTACAGAAGATTCATCTGCTGTGCGTCTGTTGCACTAATTCCCCGTCGCTGACCAAGTGTTACCTGGGAAAATAAAATGATAGAACACAACAAACCAAGACAAAAAAAAGGCTTAACGACAATCAACGATAGTAATGATCAGAAGCATCCAACATAGTTCTATAAGTTATATGCTTCTGTAATTAAGTAAGTATTCATGACATTTGAAAAATGTCTGTGTTACTTGTTTTGGTTAGGTTTTTAAATGTCTGAGCATGCACACTTCTAAATGGCATTCAAATTCTCTTTACCTGACTGACTAATAGGACGTGCCCTTTACTTTATCTATCCCACTATGAACACATAAAAGAAAATATATTTGATGCAGTTCGGTAGATCAAATGTGGAAGTGCCTGCTTGATTTTTTCTCAAACTAGGATTTAAGTATATAAATATGTTTAGGATAATAGATCGTAGGTTCTGTCTTTCGACGAAAAATGTCATGTTATTTCATAGCACCTTTTGTTTTCAAAATGGAATTATAGATAATTGAATTTAACGAAGCTGTTTAGCTGATGGAACGAGCAAACATGTGATCCCTTTGGGAGCGCCTGGAGTTCTTTTTTTCCTCCGAGTATGTCTGTGTCATTCACCGTAAATATCATCATTAAAACATGTATTTTGTACCATGCCTTGGTAATACAATACATTGTTGTTTTTAAATGTGAGCCGCTTGTAAGTAATGATGCATTGAATTGCAATTCCTTGAACTGATTTTGCCGCTTTGATATTCATTAATGCAATGGATCGATAGCATCTACACTTAAACTAACCCCTGATTGCTTGGCAATGATAGTAGGTCTTCCGTTCTTGCTGAAAGCCCTGCTCCCATAATGCATCACACTTCCATAGTCATACTTGGTTCCCAGGCTGTCGATAGTTCCTCGATTGTATTTGTTGAAATTAAACTTGTTTCCTAAGCAGAAAAGAAAAATTTAAAAAATCTTGTGAGATAAGGCTACTTTCGTGCTCGTTCCTTTTAATGAATCGGAGTAGGCATTTATCATTTTTATATTCGAGGACGTCGATTAAATCAAGCAGTCATTGGACGATGTTGAAAAACCGATGTATTGATAATTATACATTTTTAAAAGCGTTCCACTTCTTTGAGTTTCTCACTAAGGTTGTAAAATTATGAAAATACTTCATAGACGAGGGGCTTGGAAACTAGCAGGTAATTTAGAGTTAACAACTGAGTTGAAAACGTAAATTGGCCACCGTAAAGAGAAAAAAAGCTGACTTTTCAAGCGTTAGCCCTTCGTCAGAGCGATCAATTAGCCCTTCGTCAGAGCAATTTACTTTTTCAACTCAGTTGTTAACACTAAATAAATTACCTGCTATACTCTCCCACCGACGCAGCACCACGGTTTCTTTAGAAACTTTCCCCCTTTATTCGCTTAGACACCAGGTCGACTTTGTACTCAAAATGAGAAATGAAGTAGTCGCTGTAGATATTGTATTTATCATGTCAACATCACACGCTTTAAAAACAATAGCCTCTATTTGGCGCAAAAATATGCACGGATATTTGTTACTGGACATTATTTGTTTCAAACTGTGAACAGTTTTCCAACAGCGAAGCTCGAGGAAAACCGTAAGCATCGAGGAAAAAATAATGTCCAACAACAAATATACGAGCTTTTATTCGCACTAAATAGAGGCTTTTTTGTTTATTATCCTTCAAATATTTTGCAAAGAGCGTGAAAAAATGTAGGCGATTAGCTAACTATTTTTTTGCGTAAGATTTTTTTTCCTTTAAGTGTCCTCTGGTACGACTTAATGAACAAAGCTATTTTCCTTCTTTTGTAACAACCACAAAACGCTCTCTCATTTTGAATCAAATTTTAAATGAAGACTTATCGTAGTTGACGTAAGGTTTAAAAAATTGGGGAATGTGACCTAGGTGATATCTTTGGATATACTCAAGCTTTAGCAGAGGAATATTCAGTCACTTGATGTGTTTAAACCAATAGTGCGCCATCAAAAAATATTTGATGGTTCATAACGTGTATTGATTGAATCCTCTCAACCAGCCAAGTCTAATATATTGTATAACCATTTAATTTCGATGAATTTTTCTTTTGGTGCTTGTGATCTGATGTTGTGATTCTAAACTGACTCGATATTGCACTTGGTAAATGATAAGCTGTGATTTTATACACACAATGAATTTGTCGGTAGAAGGTATAGTTTGAACCTAGTATCATAATTTGTTATTTTCAATCTAACTTAGAACTTACTCTCAATGATGTTGTCCCACATAATTGTGACGTAACTATCTCTGTCAGGACGAGACTGCTCGTGGTAAAAACCCAAGGCATGCCCTGAAAAGTAAACAAATTCAATTTTAGTCACGTTGTTGTCACTATAACTGGTTGTAGAGGAATGTCCTAGAGTAACTTCTCACGATGTTTGTAGCCAACTGCAAAGGATATTTCTACGATATCCAACGGATAAGGGTAGAAAAAGAAAAACCGGCTAGAACATCCATCGGACAGGTTTTGGTCCAATGAATAGTGTTATCCACCCTTTAAACAGCGGGGGCCTGTTTCTGTATTATTATTTTGTCTACTTTACTGACCAATTTCGTGAGCTACAATTCCTCTGGACCAACATCCCCTGGCGAGATTAATATCTTGACGACTGCCTGTTCTTCCTACGTACGAGGAACATCTGAAAATGACACCAAATAGTAACGTTTCACACTTTTCTATCTGTGTTTTCTCTGTTATCAACCCCAGTTATCCTAGTTATTACAATGATTAGATTGAATTGAATTGCTGGCTTGTTGATTAATCAATCATTGATTCATAATATCGATGGATTGATTAACTGACTGACAGACTGACTAATTAGCCCTTTAAAAACCTTTAGATATGTTTGCAAATTCTCCATACTTTTCTTTATTCGTTTTCTTAAGTGCAAACAATTAAAGAGAATTTGTTTATCACGTAAGATCTTCATAAGTTGGTGATCGTTTCTTTTATTCTCGTGACTTTGACGAGTGCTTCAAGAGTGATATTGTAAGGAGAAATTAGATGCTTGTCACTCGTAGAGTCCAAGGGTTAATCTTAATAGCTGTCGATTGAATTCTTTTTTCGATTGTTTTTTAATGATTGTCTTATCATTTTTTTTTTCATACATCGTCTGTTTATTTATTCGGTTTAGTTTTGCACAATCGTGCCTAAGGAACACGAAAATCTGAGCTACTCTTCTTAGTGTTGTTAGGGTCATCTTGCAAGAGCTGTTAAGATTTTAAAGAGCTCATTACCCAGAGCCAAGTTTGAAGTTGGCATAAGCTCGTTCATTTGTCCTCTTCTTGAACCGGATACATGTTTTGCTTGTCCATTCCTCCATTCCTGCTCGGATGGCGTTCATTGCTCTGGAATCACGAGCTTTATTCATAGAAGTAAAACATGGGCTACATGTAAATGAATTACTACTAATGATTGACTGTAAAATAACATATGATGTCTTTGATTTAAGTATATGACGGCTTTTTCAACGTCACGACGTTTTTCCTTCCTCTATAAACCTAAAGTTGATAATTAATCAAGATTTCACAGATCTTCCACCTATATACGAGAATTTCGTTGAAACCTTATAAGATGAGAGGGCAAGAAATACAACAGCAAATTTATGAAAGGATGGCCGAATAGAACGTTAGAGACATGAATAATAGGAGCCACACAGTTTTTCATCAGCGATCATGTTTCATATCTTATGAATTTAATAGAATGCAACTCGTTCCTCCACTTTTTGACCATCTTCTTTCTTCTTATAGAAGGAATTTCTAACAGAATGATAATTTTGTTTTTTTTCTTTTCAATTCCCGTACCTTCTTTATGTGGCAGTTTTCTTAGGAGTAGCCAAAACACAATACTATTTTCTGTCGTAAGCCGCGAGGTTATTGTAACTTGCAATTCTCTCGACCTGATAGCGAACGCTAAGCGTGTAGAAGTTCTAAAATATCAAAATTTATTGCATTATTTGCATTATTTTCCAACAAAAAATTTACACTGGCGTCGCTGGACTAAGAAACGAATATAATGAACCATATACTTACATAGACTGGAGTCAATGACGTAAGCCATCACCCCTCCCGGCCACTGTCTGTTTTTGGTTGAACCTCTCCCCATTGGATCATCCACATCCAGTCCCATTTCGGCCGCCATGCGCTGATCGGCTGTGAATATCATGTCCCCTTCATAAAGATCGTCACTCTCTACAAGGAACGTTCGTTTTAGGTTATTTAAACTTCGCGTTCGGTTTTACCCTAATGGGCTTCATTTACGACAAACCATACTGTTATTTTTAGTATCAAAATACCAATCGGAAAATCGTTTACTTTCCACAGCTTATCCATATCAAATTACATCACTTTGACAAAATAAAATAAAACGGCATTTGGGCTCGAGTGCTTAAATGCTTTCAGTTTCAATGGTATATTTTCATGCTCCACACTAAAGCAACTATTCAAATGGCGATTATTTGGAATGAGTCACTAAATTACAGATGTAAGTGATATTTTATCTCTTTTTGTAAGATTTGGAACTCTCGCATCCTGGGCGAAAAACTAAGTACTTTTCAGTCTACTTGGTTTTATGGTCTTTGGTGACCTTGGTAAATCCCAAAAAAGGACAGTGAATAAGAATCTTCCAATCGTATATAAAAAAGTTCTAACAATACTCATAGAGCTAAAATGTGAAATTTTTACCTTCAGGATTCTTGGCGAAAGCGACTCCGCACAGAACAAAAAGGCAAAGCCACTTCATGATGCCTCCCAGCAGTGCAGAAACAAAGTTGTGAAATTGTTTCATCTGCAGCAAATTTATTGACCAGCAATTGTTCGCTCACCTGAGAAGCTGTTCAAGTTTTAATAAGTTCTTTTGTTTAAAGCTCTTTTTCTCTTTAGATCACGTTGCGTAAATTCAATTAACATGGGAAAGTGGTAAGATCTCGTTCAAATACATCTGTTACAGATGCAAGGAGGTAAAGAAATTTTTTTTTCACGCAGAGCAATTGGATACCTTCTTTTTCAGGAGGAGGGGAATATGTGGGTACGTGCAATCATAAGCAAGTGATTCAGGCATCCCTGAAAATTCGCCTGTGCCCATTTATACTCCTTGGTGGTAGAGGGCACCGTGAGAGTAATGTGTGTTTCTCAAGAACCCAAGACCCAGCCATGTCTCGAACCCAGACCCTTCGACCCGTCTAGTCTAATACATTAACTGTCAACCAACTGCGTCTCTCATAATACTTTGGCTAGTTAGTCCAAATTGTAAATGAAAACCAACCCTAATTTAGGAGGGATATGGTACAAGAAATTCCTTAAAATTTTCAATCTGTTAATAAAAATTGAAGGAATAAAAATAAAAAATAAAGCAAGCAAACGTTACAATTTATTCAGAATTTTCTTCTATTATGGTTCAGTTTTTTTCACTTATGAAAACATATTTTGTCTACTTTGAACTTGTCAAAACTTTTCTTGACGTATGGAAAATCTTTATTCAAAAAAATTTTCGTTTTCATTTCAAGCGTCACTTATTGTTTATTGTGGAAAATGTCTGTTTACATGTCATTAAATTGCTGCGGATTTAAAAAGCAAACAGAGAATATTCGAAAGCCTCGAGAACCCCAGTAGTATTGAAACAGCTTAAATCTTTAGAGCAGGCAAATTGTTCTTTGCCTTTTTTTTTTATTCCGGCTGGAAGTGAGTAAAGACACTTATGTAATAATAGTTCTTCCTTGACTTCGATCTTGACTTCAACCGTAAATAGTTCGTATCTAAAATTTTAGTCCAAGATTACTCCTTTTTTTAACAAAATCAGTCTAGGAAATCCAATAAACACGTGTTTTTTCGATTTAACGACACAAGTGATGGTTGGGAAGTTGTCTTAATTGCACGTATCTTGAGCAAGTTCATTATAGAATCGTTCAGGCAAAATCTAGTTGTGGACTTTTTGACTTACCATACTATACATTCGTAATTAAATAGTTAGGAAAAAAATTTTTTTTGAGTGTGTAATATCAATCAAAAAATATCCATGTTCAAAGATGATAGCATTATGTGCAATTTTGTCGTTAGCTTTTTTTTTTTTTTTTTTTTTTTTGGTGGTTCGTTGCTTCATCACGAATCACGAAGTACCGTTGCTCGGCTAAAACAAACCGTAAATAATTATTTGTAAGATTGTCAAAAACAGTATTCACGTTCATATTTCTATGTGTAATGTAAGTATCGCAGCTAATTACGAATCATCAACCCATGCAAATTCTTTAAAGAGTAACATACATCACTACAACGAAACATAAGCAAAGGCAAATTTACAGGTTGCAATATTTGGGAGACGCAGGAACTCTTTGGACTCCCGGTCGAGCAGCCCTGCACCTTCAGACGTAGGACACCTCTCCCGAACAACGTATTTGAGATTCTTTCACCCTTCTCCCCCATCCAACATTGTTAATCGCCAATGTTTCTCTGCCATCTTGCAGACCAACATGGAGAGGGGCATGAAAGACTGTATGTGTCGCAACAAAGGTGTCTGCCCGGTCATTGTGTTGTGTTCCTGGGAAAAACGCATTACTTTTACAGCGGCTATACCGAAGAGTACATATAAGAATGGGAATTTTGTAATAGACATCCACCAGGTGGTTCTCCTTGTCTACTGTCTCTAGGTTGAATTAGAATGTTGGTTTTTTTAGGAGGGAGGAAAACCGTAGGACCCCGAGAAAACCCTCCGAGCAAGGACGAAAACTGACAGCAAACACAACCCTCATGTGAAGCCAGGTCTGGGAATCGAACTCGAGCCACAGTTCTAAGTGGCGAGCGCTCTCACCACTGCACCATCCCTGCTACCTATGAAGATGGAGTAAGGTTGAATTGTTAGGGAAGTCTGAAGAAATGTCGTACTCAAGGTCAAGATTGGTGTTCAATCATCATTGAGGAATTGCGCTGCCTTTTTGCTGATATCAGCGATAGGTTAGAAGTCATTTCTAGTTGACCCGTTCTCTACGTCGTTAAGGAATATTAAACAACTCGGACATTCATTAAAAAGAAACTCTTTTGGTTGCATGTGGCAAAATAGGCCAAACCACTGATATCTATGGACAGGTAGCCGAAATCTACCTTAACAACTTAACTTCAACATTTTTTGGCACTCTCATCAACTCAAAATTCGATACAAAGTCAGTTTATCATCGGTGATTTCTTTATTATGCTTTTAAAATCAATTGACACGTCAAAAATTGTCAGGTAAGCAATCTCATTTGTTTTGATAAGCTATGTAGCATTCATAGTCCTGTCCTTAGATGGTCAATGCAAGACAGAGAAACAGGAAAGGAAATTGGTTGGATGATTTTCGACCAAGAAAACTGAACCATGATAATTCTCCTAACTAGTGGCTGACGCTCTGGGCATTCCCCCATAGAAGATCCAAAAATTCCTTGGAAATCCCATCAATAATGATTGAATTGAAAATAAAAACAGTAGAAGCCGAGTTAATCACCGCATCTCAAACTCCACAGATGAAAGCAAAAATTTTCCTGCAAGTCCCACTCTCGGGTTCATCTGTATAAAAATCTCATTTGCAGCAAACTCATACAGTTAAATGTAAAGTATTTCGCTCTAGCAGAGGGTTAAATGTCGGCAGTTATCGGTAGGTAACATGGAAGACAGAAGGCTAGTAGAAAGGGAGGAGAAACGTATTTATGATGGTCTCGTTTACATCGCTTGGCCAAGCTGTCTTTGCACATGATCGAAACCCAGAAAATCACTGACTGGCCAAGACTATGATAATATCACAAAAGTTCTTTAATATTTTCAGATAAAACGCAAGGAGACATGGGGATTATATTCCTCATAACTGAAGCTATATTTGTTTTCAACTAATTAGCAAAAAACGCTAGAAATGGAATTGAGGGATAGAGTCTGGTTGAGGGGTACAGAAACCATTGGCGTTATCTGGCCGAGGCCCTGTGTGCATAAACGCACAAGGTAAATATTGCCCCGTCCACCCTGACCTTATTCCGCTTTCCAAGTGTTATGAAGCGACAAAGAGTATTACGACTGCCCCTGGATGGACGCTAGTCTTTTGCAAGGTTCCCTCCTCTCTCCAACATTTCATAAGGCTACCCTGCCCTGCCCGCCGGTACTCATATAAACCGCTCCTGAGTGAAGGAAGGCACTGGTGTTCAGACCAAGAACGCAACGCGTTTGGTTGACTCTCGACGAGAAATTAAAACAACAGACAACGTCTCTTCTTCGGGAGTAATGTATATCTGTGCTCAAAGTGACTCTTCTTAAAGCTCCACAGAGCCGTGCTGGATCTCATGCATTATCTAATCTATAACACATATACTAGTACGACTAGACGCAAAAAGAGGTTGGGAGGAGGGGTTTGGAAGAGACGTGAGGTAACGCCCAGACACTTGTTTTCTCACCATAAAGCTAACCAACTCCTGGCCCATTGACCTTGCAAGACCATGACACAAATTCTAGTCTAGTAATGTTTGCTGGATTTAGGGCAGCGAAAGGATTTAAGTTCGCCACCTTAAAACGTCTGACGGTTTGATTCCCTCTACCAATAATAACATAATTACAACCCCCATTAACGAAAAAAAAGATTATCGTGCCTGAAATTCTTTATTGGGACACGTTTAATTTTAGTAAGATCAAGAGATCCTGGTAAGAGGTAATGACAGGGCTGCAGCACAAAACAAACAAACAAATCTATGTGAGTTGCTAAAAATAATCTTTCTTTCGACGGCTTTAAACGATTGGTGTCACTAAGGGTAACAGGAGTTTCATGAATACTACTCACACGTACCTGCTCAAAATTTTGCCTCTGGGCGTTCTTTTGGATTGTACTTACTCGAAGCTCTCTCAAGAAGCTAGGAAATGAAATACTGAATGCATTCGAGTTGCTTTTAATCACTAAAATTCGTTTTGATGATGCAATTCGAAGCAAGTACAGGGCTGTTATGGTCTTTCTTTGAAAAAGTTTTAAAAACGATCCACTGCCGAATAAGGGAATTCATGATGATTGTTTACAATTCCAGTCCTACAATACAACTCTAATTAAAACGATTGGCACACTCTTTTTTATGATTTAATAAGGTTATTACATAGAGGAGTTATTCAAAATATTCACCGCTGACGTGGAGGATTTGAAAAAAACTGATGAATAAAGAATAATAAGTACACCAGGTAATATTATATAGATATCTTCAAGGAACATAGTATGTGCTTTGGTTGATTTTATTAGCTTCGTTTCAGTGTAACGAGGACGTCCGACAGAGAAGGGAAAAATGGTTATTGAGGTTATCACTAACGAGCGTTTCAACGTCTATTATTTTATTTAGACAGTTAAAATGTGCCCTAAGTGAAATTATTCTCCAAGAGATAAATTGGAAAGTAAAATAACACATTTATGGGTCCCTCAATGGAATTTTGTAGAAATTTATAAGTTAACACTTCTAAAGAAGGACAAAAACGCAATTATCCAGGAGTTTTTAACAATGTTCATATAATTTTTACCCATGATGAGTTTGTTGCTAGGGGAGTCCGTTCTTCAGCCTTGGTATGTATGCTTAGATTATCTCTGGTGTTTTCTAGGCATTATGTTGACATGATATTGGTTAACAGATGATTTAGCTAGCCGCATTTAAGCTCAAAAGTTTTGTTTTCCATTAGTGCAATTATATTTAAACAACACAATTTATTTGGTTTTCTTTGCTAATGGATAAAACCAAATTTTTTGTTCTTAACGAGCACTTTTTATCCAGTGCATTCATTATTTTACCAAGCTAAAACCTGGAATGATACCTTTATTTCATTCAAGGATCCGTGGAAAATAACATATGTGTTTAGTTGGTGTCGTTGTTGCGCTCTACATTTTCCTTATTAAAGCCTTTTCGGATATGCATCAATCCGGAGTTAGAACAGTTAGAATCTCCTAACAAGTGAATTTGCTCATCATTACTACTTTCTAATACTTGGGCACCCAGAAACAGCATTAGAGAGCTTTGCAAGTAAATTATATCTTATGAAATAGTATCTTCTCAGAGGATCGCCTACAAAAATATTTTTTCATATTTTCAGGCATCGTGGCGCATTTTGTGGCTTGAATAGGAGAATTTGGCGGGCTAAAAGACATTTTGTCTTGCTGTTGAGGCGAAAGAAGTCACAGCGAAAGAAGTTGAGATGAAAGAAATTACATCTTTTCTAAGACCGAATCATTTCTGAAACGTAGAATTCAACGATGAATTATCGGTAAATTAAGAATCCTCGGAGATAGGGGAAAGAAGATTTTCAAAATTAGAAGCTTTTTCCTTTAATAGAAAACGGCAAAAAGATAGGCCTGTTGGGGTAACTTAGTGGCTAGCGAAGCGAAACAAATTCACATTGAGTTCATACCTTATTTAAGCCCTGCTAAATTAACTAAACGGAATTTTGCAGAGATTTTGTGCCGAGGTGAAAAGTAACCAAAATATGCATATTTTTTCTCACTGGTTCACGACAGAACGTCTCAAAATCAGACTGATTTAAAACCACATTCGCTGCGCACAAGAACGGCTTACATCGCTTACAAGACGTTATGAAACTAAAATATTTTTAAAATGTTGCTATGGCTAAGTCGATTTGCCTCAGAGCACCCTACCACTCCTAATCTTAAGCGAGACCAAAATATGAGGCATAATATTTTTATTCTTACACAATTACTGATTTTAAGTCAATTGGAGTGGCATTCTTGAGATTCAGCACCATCTATCATGTAAGCGCGATCAAAATGAAATAAGAGATTATATGGACAGGCGGGTTACGTGACCCACCCAAGCTCCCCCCTCATGGCCCCCCTAAAACTGTTATTTATTTTCAGTTTGAGGATAAGTTATTGAACTGTTTTTTTTTTTCATTGGAGCTTGTTTGTTCAAAACACGATTTCTTTTAGATTTACTGTGCGTTGTCTTTCCCAAAAGTTTTAAATTCTGAAAAAACAACCTTAAAAGAACTGCGTCGACAACGTGGATCAATATCAGTATCTGGGCAACTGCCCACTTACCCCGCCCCCAACCCAACATTAACCTTAACTTGTTGTGAATTGACTGTTGTTGAGTTAGGGGAGGGTTAGGTGTGCAATTGCCCAGATACTGATATTGATCCGACAACGTTATAAAACTATTGGTTTTTACGTCAGCCATGCGTTCATGGGGAAGTTTGTAGAGCACAAGAGAATTGTAAGAGTTGCTCGAGGCTTAGCCGAGAGCAAATCAAGCTTCTTGAGTGATACATGCTGAAATATGAACCCCCCTGTTAAATTTAAAATGCCGCGGATCGAAGCCAAATTATCAATAGCCTTTGCTCTCGAAAAAATAAATGAAATGTATACTTTGTAATCACATGCAGTTAGATGTACGTTGTTAGCAGAGATTGAGATGGTTGCAGTTTTATGAAGGTTGCATGGTAGACTTTTGCCGATGGAAAGGGACGATGAATGTTCCTATAAATAATGTTCATTTTTCCTCGCTTGGTCAGGCTGTCATCGCACATACAATCAAAAACAAGCAAAACCAACAAACCTGGCCCAGGTTATGATAATATTAGATGGGTTCTTTCAGTTTTGTGGAGCAGGAGACATTAAACTGATAAGAAACAAAAAAATTACATCGTGTCTTCATCCTTTATTCAGTTCTTCCCCATTTAAAGAGGTACATTTTGCTTCGTTAGTCAAAACCAGCCTGTACGAAGAAATGAAAATAAAGTCATCAGTTTATGGCAACCATTGTGTGGACAATCTTCCAAGAAACGCTCATAATATCACAAATGATATCAATAGTGAGATAAACAGATTTACAACGGTGCCGTGTAATCCTAATAACACTTGCAACAAATATAAAGAGAAGAGAACGTACCTCGGCTTGTCAAACTCAATTCACACCCTCTATGGGCACACTCCTTTGTAGTGAAGATCCATCTGTTCCGCATCTATCTTACTTATGGCCTTCCTCTGACCAAGCGTGACCTGGAAAAAAATTTGAAATGAGAGACGTTGATACAAACAAAGTGATATAGCTTTCTTTTTTCCCCTATAACCCCTTCAAGTGACGGCCATTTCATTTCTCTTTAAACAGAATCAACCCCTGAGTTAAACACTGAGGAAATCAAAACAAAGAAAGCGATCACCAACTTAAGAAGCTCGTGACTGTCAAACAGTGCCTCCATGTCAGAGTCATTGTAAGTGCATAAGGAGCAGTAAGGAGAACATAATCACCAATTCCGTGGTGTAAAGGGTTAAAGAGGTCCCCCTGTATTGCATCGGTCTTCACCACTAATAAAGAGCATTTTTATTGAACTTACCCCTTCTTTCTTGGCAACGATGGTAGGTTTTGTTCTTGCTGAAAACCTTACTCCCGTAATGCATGATGCTCTTGAAACCATGCTTAGTCCCAAGGGAATCGATGGTTTTGCGGGGGTATTTTTTAAAATTAAACTTCTTTTCTGAAAACAATAAAAAAAAATAAACAAGGTATTGCAATAAAAAAGTGAAGGGACACATCCTTTTATGTCCTTCTTAGATATCTTTTCATTTCTAAAATATTAAAAATGTAACTTTTAGATGTACCACAATAGTTTCAGCATATTTAACATTAAATGCAAACTTTTTTCGCTTGTCTCCTTTCCTTCTTTCTTCTTCTGTCTTACATTTTATTTCTATGATCTGTAGCAAACAAGAATAAGCGCTTACTTCCATTTCATCAAGAGTTATCAGCAATTGAAACCGCTAAACCATTTGGCGTGTTTCGTTTTTTTTTTTTTTTTTGCTTTTGTTTCTTAAGTCACCATGTGGCTTTAGGAACTATTTTCTTGTGCAACGCAAATCATAATTTATCCAGATCAGAATGCGTGCGCTTACAAGTTAACCCTTATACCCATTCGAAAGATAACCATGTTAGATGATAAAAATGCACACTGGAAAGCATAAAGTCAAGAATTCCCTTCACCAATTAACAAGCCAGTGCAAAGAAGTCGAACGAAGAACGAAATCAGATCTTTATGGCAAAGGGATTTTATTTGATCGACGGCTTTTTGATTCACCTCCTACAGCGGCAAGGCATGCTTGCAGATTTTAACTACTTTTTTTTTTCCTTTCTCCAAAAGACATCACAGAAGAAAATATATCCAAGAGACCATAAGCTGGAATTTCTTGATACTACTGTGGTGGCTTTTATGTACTTACTATCAATTATATTGCCCCATAATATTTTTACGAAATCATCTTTGTCAGGGCGGGACTGTTCGTGATAGAAACCTAACGCATGTCCCTAAAAAAAGAGAAGAGTTCATATTCAGTGTCATCCTTATCGTTACGAAGAAGACAATATAAACTGTTCATATTCTCTTGTACGAAAGCTATGCGTGGACTCTGTTCTACAGTTAGTTCGTGTGTGGCGAAAATGCCATGATTCGTCCTTAAAGCTTCTACGTATAGTAAAAAACAAACAAACAAACAAACTAAAAATCAAATTCTCAAAACTCAAAGCCAAGATAATATTCGAGCAAAAAAAAAAAAAAAATTACAAGTAGTACTACCTCTAACAAGTTGCGATCTATCGTCTCAGTGTCTATGAGCGTTCATTCATGGTTTTCCTAGCTTCTTTTGTTTGTTTGTCTTTTAGAATGCGCAAAATTCTGCTTAGAGACCATAAATTTTCCGTTTCTACTCTATTTCGGAGCGACCGATAAAAACTTCAGAAGAGAAATAAAGAGTGAAACTCAGCCGAATTTAACATGTTGCAAATGCATGAACGTATAACAGTGAATCGTCAGAGGATTTAAAATTGCTCAAATTCCCATGAAAAAGGCTAAGCACTCGGAATATTGATGATATGCACTCAGTTTGTTTGAGGTATATGTTTCAAGTTACGTCGAGTTGTCGTCCATGAAAGCTGATCAATTTCTTTTAGAAGACGACAGCCAGAAGCAATAATTCTCTTCAGGATGTTGCTGGTTTGAATAACACTCTTTCAAAGCCATGCACTTACCATTTGTCTGAAAATTATGTTGTTGAGAACAATGGATGTGAACATCGTGTAAATATGCAATATCTGATTTTTGAGCTTCGTTCGCAAGTTGCTCCTTTGAAACGAAGAGGCTGGCCCGCAAAGATATTTACATATTTAAAAACTAGAATATCATAAAGAGCTTGGTGCTTAGTTTCGGTTACTGAATCGGTGCACTTTTTGAGAAATTCCATTAATCGTTTTCTTTATTTACTGAGATGACCAAAATTGTTCCTACATAAATAATCGATTGGTCTGTTCACATTCACTCTCAGGAAAAATTGAATGAGTCAGAGCAAAGACGAATGATGGATGCCTGATTATGTATGGTAGAAGTACCAATTTTTAACGTTGTATTGAGCTTGAGATAGAGAAACAAACATTTTGTTAAATGTAAAACATTTTTTTGCGATGTTTTTGTATGAAATTAAGCCCCAGGCCTCGAACAAGCAGCCGCTGTCATCATGGTTACAAGAGTGCCGTTACATTTAGAAAGGACATTTTTAGTGCATCCCCCTGAGTACCTAAGTGCATGCAAAATTTGAAGGAGGTTGAATATTTTCATTTCCCAATATGTTTGATTCATACAGAGACTATTTCTTGCTTTGTATACTTCTTTATGGAAAATACTAACTGATTTCATGAGCAACAATTCCCCTATACCAGCAACCCAAACACAGGTTCATTCTTGGGGTTTTCTTTGTCTTCCTATGAAGGATAAGTATCTAAAAAAAAACAAACCGAAAGATTTGAATTATATTTTCATTATCATTTACATCTAAATCTACCAAATACCGAGAAATTTTTTTTTATCACGCAATCAAACTGTTTATATCAACATTTGGTTTTTGCAAATTATGCTGTAATAAATCAACTGGCCCGCCTTATTGCTAATCTGCGGCGCGCTAAGATTCAAAGCTTTTTTAGCTGCTACAATCCATCGCTCTCATTTGATAAGATAATGTTCTCGTAAATTCAGAGGGAAATAGACGGTTCAAATCTTCTGCTTTTCCTGAATTGTGCTGAAACGCACCAACGACTTTATTGACATGCGTGTCAACGCACCTTTAGACAATTGAGCGCCATAACTGGGCCTTGAATGATAATACGTGTTCAAAGAGGAAATGCTTTAATTTTAGAGTTTATTGAGTTTTACCAGCTGCCGAGGTAGTTTGGATGCGAAATGTAAAAACAATTTTCTAGAAAGTTCTATAATGCCTAATCATGCTGACATACATACACGAACTTTCTATATTCATACTATGGATGTTTCTGGAAAATTCGACTAGCTTGTGTAGTCATGATGTAATGCTACCAAAATAACTGCTTTGTAAGTTTCCGGAATGTTCTAGAATACTTTGTAAAAGTATACAAGGACTCAGTCGTGTAGTGGTAGTTGTCTTTCCAGACAATCAGGGTCTGATTGTTTGGAAAGCTTTACCGAGAGAGAGCTATAGTGGAATATTATTCATTTTGATTAGATTTGGAGGCAACAAGGAGTTTGCGTCGGTGGTAAGCTAAGTTATGGACTGTATGGACGTTGTTTAATTGGAGTATTTGGGTTTGTAGGAGTATAGTGTTCTTTCTTTCGGTTAAATTATAAGGTAACAAGGTTCTCAAAAAAGGAAAAACACCAGTCACGCATTTTCGTTTCTAACTCTTTTATTCCATTCTATCCTGCTTACTACAGCAATCCACTGGTTGATTAAAAGTTCCGAGACCCTGCAAAAAGTAAATCAAGTATCAAAATCTGTCATGAAGGGCCAACTCCTACATCTTTAAAATGATATAAATAGAATTGATCTGCGATTTCTAACCTCATTTTTGCTCGCGCCTTTTATTTTCTACTCTCTGCTTTTTAACTTTTGCGAGAAGGATATATTTGCTCTCTCACCTTCAGCCCCTTCTGCAGTACATGCGGAACATCTGAATTCCGTCCAAACGACTGATACCTCTTCGTTGGCCAATTCTAGCCTAATATGTGACCACAAAAAGGCAAGATGAGTTATGTAAAAACTTTCAGTATCTGCACAATTTACGTTAACCAGCTTTGCAATGAATTTCATTCCCTGCCGCAAGCTTTAACCTTTTTTATCAGAAAGCTTTCCATTCTTCAATGGACATTTAAAACTTCATGCGTAGAGTGTAAGAATGTAACAATGGCAACGTACCCCTCTTTGCCTAGGTCGAATTGTTGGCCGTCCGTTCTTGGAGAAAGCTGTAGGCCCATAATGCATCACGCTTCTGTAGTCGTAACGAACCCCAAAAGAGGTGGATTCACGTCTAGTTCTCCTTCTGAAGTTATGCCTCATTCCTATAAGTTTGATCATTGGTTGTAGAGAAAAAAGCAAGTGTGTTTAAAACTACTTTAAGTATCTTTTCTCCGAAACAAGCTTCGAAATACTTTAAAGACCTTTTGCTTGCTATTTGACAGTAAGGTATACGCCTATACTTTGTTTTGAACTTTTCTTTTTCTTTTTTTAAACTGATCCATACAGTTGTAAATGATTCAGTGTTATAGTGACTTCCTGACAAGGTTACGAATATCACTTTATCTTTATTCCGAAATACCAAACAGAGACTTCAACGTGACAGTGTTTTATTCAGCCTATCTTAAAGATTGTCCCCCTTCGGAGGTAAAGGTTGGCTCAGACTAATGTTTCAAACTATAGGTGGTTTAAAGAACTTTCGGTATATTGCTAAAAATTTCTGTTGATCGAATCGCCGTATTTCTTAACAGAAATAAAAAAACCCTAGCCCTATGTAAATCTCCGTTCTATTGACCGCAGAGTACTTTAGCCTAGTTTCCCCAACTTTCAATTCAGGGGTATGCCCACTTACCACGTTGGATGTTCTGCCATAGTATTGTGACGAATCTATTCCTGTCAGGACGAGATTGTTCGTGCCAAAAACCCAAAGCGTGCCCTGAGGGTGGAAGGATTGGTTTAAGTCTCACTTATAGATATTACTTATTTTGTACTGGCTACCACTTGTGTTTAGCTATGAGGACACCATTAGGTCAAATACGTAAATACAAGAATACGTAAATACAAGAATAATCCCCACAAAATCTTTAAAAGGTTCTGCTGTAGACATACTCTCCCATGAATCATGTCAAGAAGAATCTTAATGACTGAGTGAGCTAATATATATAACGAGTTTTTTGCTTCTTCCCATACCTTGCTTTTGTCGTTGCTGTTGTTTTTCTTTACGATAGATTATAAATATTGTTGGCTAATTGTCTCATGAAAAAAAGGAAAGCAAGAATTTCAACAGACAACCTAAGCGCAGTGGTTCATAGCCACAGTAATAAAAGCAATGAAGCAATTTGGATAAATCAAGTAACGGACTGCTTCAAAACAAAACGGTGACCACTGCTCTTTAAAATTTACTTTCGCCAAAAAATTACTCTTAGCTATGCTTAAGTCCATAAAAGATATTTTGGTGCAAGTTTATTTCGCAAATAAGTCCTTGGAACATGGCTGTTTTCTCCAAGAGCCACATAGTACCCACCAATTTCATGAGCCACTATTCCTGTGGTCCAGCAGTTAGGATGTAGGTTGATGTCTTGACGCCTGCCAGTTCTTCCCACAAATGATGAACATCTCAAAACGAATAACAACAGCAGCATTAACAAAAACAAGACACTCTCTCGTATGCAGATATATAGTTACTTGATATTCATTTCATTTGCATGTGAATTCTTGCTGTACATCAGCTAGATTTGAGGGTTCCTTTTCCCTATAGTGTCGAAATCATCACGCTTCCACAACTTTCCAAAGTAAAATCAAAGAAGCTATCCACATTCAATGGGAGCAACCTACACTTAATCATCAACTTTATCATGTTCATTTAAAACTTTCTTTGTAAATGCATACATTTTTCAGTTAATATTGTTTGTTTTGTCCAATCAGCATTTTGCTACACACTTTAAAGTCAACTTTGTGCTTTGTATAAATCATATCTGAGGATGGCATAAGAACTGTCGAAATATGTTTTTAAAAAGTGTCGTTTATTTTCTTAAACTCGTGACATATCTGCTGCTATCCAGACCTAATCACTCAAAAGACCTTGACAACGATCAATTCGTTTTCTTAGAGCAGCAAAGTTTATGCGAAGAATGTATATATAATAAACACTTCAAAGAGGCCTCTGTTTAGAGCTTCAACTTCCTGAAAGGTCTTCCCACATCTACCGGCGCAAAAACCGTGCACCAGGGAAGATTTTTCCTATTGTCCTTTTTTTTTGTCGTCATATTGCTGGTCTCTCTTGACCCGTTAGAGTGATTATAATTTTGAAATCACAGGGAAAGCATTTTCGAACACCTATACCTGGCAAAGACTAAAAAAATTGTTCTTACCCTGAACCACGTACAAAGCGAACGTAAGCCCGTTCTCTTCTTCGTCGCCTGAAACGGACGCAAGTTCTTCTAGTCCACTGACGCATTCCAGCCCGTATGGCTCTCCTTGCCCGAGCATGGACAGCTTTAACCCCGATAAAAATAAAAGGATTAGTTTTCATTGATAGCTAAGAGCCTGAAAAAGTCCAATAGAAATAAAAATTTAAGAAAATTAAAAAAAAAACACTCACAAGTGATCACAGATAAATATTCGTACCTAATCTTAATCTGAAAGTTTAACAATTCACACCACGCGCAAAACTGAGAGAAGATATAAGAATAAAACCTTTTTCACATATTCAATTTGTAGACATTTCACTTTATTATCATGCACTCTGTCAAAAGGCACAACTAACCATGAATGTTACATATAAGCACTTACACAGAGAACGATCAATGGTAAATATCATCCTAGCACGCGGCCATCTTCTGAATCTAGATGCAGCTCTGCCTAAAGCAGAGTTACGTTGGTTTTTTAGAAGGACAATATCTCCTTCGAAAAGTTTCGGATCTTCAAGAAGCTTCGCTGAAAACAAAATTTCAATGTTATTTTCAGTCAACTTTTCTATAATCAACAAGTTCTTGAGAAACTAATTGCAAATAAACTATGATAAAACGTATTCCCATATCTCAAATCTTGCTGGCTCAAGCGAATTGTTTCAAAAATGATTTTTAACAGTGTGTCGCTTAGGAGCTTCGAAGGCTTATTTGGGGTGCAAAGAACTGAATAAATCACTATTTCCAAATTGAACTTCTCGATATTCTTTCTGTGACTACATTTAAGAGTAAGAAGTGAACAATTCAAGAACGCGAATCACCTTGACAAGTATAGTTTCATAAGTTGAGAAATAATCGCAAAATTCTGCGAAATTTTCTATTTAGAAATCTTATCTAAAATATGTTACCAGTAATTCTAATATTACCTTTGGACTCTTTGTAGAGCACGACCCCAAAAAAAACGAGAACGAAGAGTAACTTCATAATTCCCATCTCTGGCATCAGCCAAGCCAATGAAGTTCCGCCAAGGCAGCTAGAATTTATATGAATTTGTGTCGATTCACCTGTCAGGAGCACTTTTTATTCAACGGAAAAACAACTTCTTTTTATTGGCGTGGTAACGCAGTTGATTACATACGCCCCTGCTTAGACTTACTTGACCTCAATGAACAATTATGAAAAGAAGAAAGCCCCTCTTCAAAGCTTTCAAGCTCTTCGTAGGTTGGAGATGCGCACGCACTTACTGCTTGGTATCATACGCCCACTGCTCTGGTCAAGATTGATAAACACAAATATTAAACAAAAACCGCAAATGAATCGCCCTCTCTACATACATAACTTTCTGGCATACAAGGTTTATTTCCGAAAATGCAGTGGGTGGGAAAACTCTGTTCAAAAGAATATTTTAACTGCTCAGATATTTTTCTTGCCAACTCCTTGAGAGAGTGGCAAACATCATCTCCTATGAATTTATAATTAGTGTTTTGATAAAACCCCGGACCACCATGAGAAGAGTTTCGGGAGCGAAAACCTTCAAACTAACTTGACGCCTCTCCATTTTTTGTAAAGAGCGTTTGTGTTTGGTCAATTTCTTAAATGATCCCATGCTAAACTAAATTCAGGTTAACAGTACTCAAAATACGTCAAACAAATGGAGTATCGGCTGAACAGGTGATCCTGCAAACTGACTTGACGCCTTTCCTTTTTACCTGTAGCATTTGTGTTTGTTCTAACTCTTAAATGATCCCAAGCTAAAACAAACTCGAATTCACAGCATTCAAAATACATCAAAAACTGGAGTATCGACTAAGCAGGTGATCCTGCAAACTGACTTGATGCCTCTTCTTTCTTATCTACAGCGTTTGTGTTTGGTCAGCCAACCAATTAAGAAATAGAGACGCCTTGACTGTGCTCTGTTCTGTTGTAAAGCACGCAGGAAGCGGCTAGAGCACGAAAGTTGTGTCCATGTCTGGTGTTTCTCCCCACTTCTTCAGTTCGGCAAGTCGAATTAAAACGTTTTACAGCGCTGTAAAACTCGGCTGCTGTGACTAATGTGACCTTCCACTCAACGCATCTCCTCCTCCTCCTCCTCCTCCCCGGCAGGATTGTTGTTGTTGCCAGTTACGAGAGTGTTAAGAGAAAAGCATCTAGTTTTTCTAGAATATTGATTGCGCTCTCGCATAGTTCAGCAGGCTTTTGGTGCTCATGAAATTTCTTTACTATTTTGAAAGAACTGCATTACGGGTGTGCAGGCCAGTTTGCTATATTTCCTTGATTTCCGACGGAGTATTCCCATTGGCTAACTGCTAAGATTGAGATAATGTTACTACCTTTTTAAGTAAGCGGTTCTTTTTCACACAGGTCCTTTCGCTAACGACCAGTTCGCTATCACCTTAGGTCGTTTTGCCAACTTCTCAGGACAGTTCGCTAGCGTCTCATCGTTCGTTTCGGTGACGTATTACAACACGCTTAATGATCCCACAGGCAGAACTCGATCGACTTAGATCTAATCGACCGAAAGGTTGTAAGGAGGTTAGATCGTTTCAATACAAACTGAAAGTCGATTTGATATGAGTAAATTCAAAAGAAAATTGAAGTCGAGTCGATACGTTGACAAACTCGCTTCGATACATCGATTTGAGACGACCTCAGCAGGTCGAGCACAGTACATTTTTGGCCGATCTTACACGCGTTTGTGGAACAAGATTTCAATTGTCGCTGTTTCGAAGAAAACAAAACTGGTAAAATTGCCCATGACCTCAGCGAAATAAGCTATGATAAGTCAGCCAACTGAACTGAAACGTTGGCGAAACCACCTAAACCGTTAGCGAACTGGTCGTCAGTGAAACGGCTCCTAGGAGAAACGACTGGAATTCCCACAGTATTTAGTAGAGCCTTCGACAGATTTTTTAACGAAATGGTTTTTATTATCAAGGAGATCTTCAAATTGCAACGAGTGGCCCAATTCTGTTTGATTCGAATATTTTAGTAGCTTCCATTGATGACCGCGTGTATGATCGTATGTAGCAGGTTAGCTTTTCTCTCAGATCAACCATCTTCACAAGCCTCGTCAGAAAAAAAGGGTGGATAATTAGTGAGCATCTAAAGGAACCTCTTGTTGAAGCGATTAGATCATCCCTGATGAAGACACTAGACAGGAGTGTCGAGAAGTTGGGTCTATGAGTTGTAACTTCTCAGTTATATTCATTAAATCTTTGATATTTAACCATGTGTGATTGTCCACCTGATTGATTAGACGAACGACAACTATGCTGGAAGGGTTCCCCATCATAATTACTTTCCTGTAAAACTAACACCTGAAATATCAGAATTTTCCCAAAGCAAGCTGGAAACACGGCCAATAGATCCTTCCTAGAAACCACTGTAGAAATTGCTTCTTTTTGCTGCGATTTTAATACGCGAGACATATCAAATCCCGAAGGACATCTTAGGTACTTTTTTGATAGCGTAATCAAAACTAACAACTAGATCATTTACAGAGCTTGCCATCTTTCGCATTTTCCCACTAGAGGACCTTATTAAGTAAGCGGCACTGTATCAAGCGGTCACTTAGAGCAGAACCACGCAAATAATAACTAAGAGAATAATCTTTCAAGTAAAACTCAAATCCATGTTGCAGTGATCGCCTGAGATCGATGTTAGTAGTTTTTTTAGCAAGTTTTCGTACATTAAGGGGTCAATTATGGGATAACATAATATTTTTTAGCGTTTTCTACAATACCTCTATTTCGTCACCCTCTATACCCAGCGGGTGACGCTTAATTCAGGTTGGACTGTAGCACTTGGGGTGTGCATCATAATGTGCTCTCTTGTTGAAAGAAGTCAGACAGTTACAAACGCCGACAAAAAAATCGTGCTTTTACGCAAATAAGTATATTTCGGTGAACCCTTTCTTTTGAGTTTGAATTGATCAGCATATTTTCAGTCTTTTTAAAGGGAGCACTTCCAAAGTCATGACTTGCTTGGTCTTTAAGATTGATTATTTTCAAGTTTGGTCCATAGTTCATTCTATTTTCATTCTATTGTAATGTCTTGGGAGAAGAAGGCTACAGTAATTATGAGTCGTTCGTCGTCAAGAGCACTTGGCAACCAGAAGTAAATATTAGGTCAGTCCTAGTTCTGGCTTCCACAGGCGGCAAATGGCGTCGAAGAGAAATGTAATGTTTACATCGACCATTTTGACACATTTAGTCATCACTTCTAGTCTGGAATAAAGTTCTGTGGTTAATTGTGTTTTATCAGAACAAGTATGTAACTCAAAATACAAAAGAAATAGAAAAGAATACAAAATTTGTTTGAAAAATTAGAACTCAGCATAGGCCAAATAAAAAAGGTTCTTAGAAAAAGAAATGTGTACGAATGAAAAAAGCTAAGCAACCTTTTAACCGGTTTTATATGTTGAAAATACACATACATGCAGATTTCTCATAAACCTGTAGTTCAAGCATGCTATGACTTCAAAATTTTGATGCACACCTCAAAAGGAGAAGAAATAAATTTCAAGTTTCAATTTATTCAGTTTAGGTTCGTCAGGTAAAATTGAGTCAAACATTCATTCAACGACAGCTTCAAGAAATTTTCACGACTAATTTACTAGGTTAGCCTGCCTAGAACAATCAACTTCATGTACAAATAAGACTAGATATGTACGGATGATGCACAAAAAACTATCTGAGGTAGGAGAGCAGGCTTTCCTTTCTTCATTAAAAAAGATCCTGAGGTTATCATCTTTCCACAAGCTCAGTGGAAAGTGAGAGTGAGAGAGACTGAGAGTGACTATGTTATTTAAGTAAATATCCAGAGAAGGATAAAAGGCAAGATATGGTCTGTACAACTCTCTTATTTTAATTTTACAACCTATTAAGCTAGGTCATTTATATTCTTGCTTTGTGCATCACGTGGATACCAATTAATCTAACTTTCACGCAGGTCAAAGTAAAAACATGAATTAAAGTAGCAGAGCCCAATTTAATTTCAGTCTCAATCAACAGGGGATCCTTGCTTTTCCAGTTTCCCACCCTTTAAAAGTCACATATCTTGTGACCAATTCCTTATATCAATGTTGAGTTTGGGTATGAGTATTGGTAAGAAAAACCATGCATTAATGAAAGCTTGAGCAAGAGTATTAAATGCAATTCAAATAATAATATTACATGTTACAATGTGGCAACTTTCACAGCAAAATTATATAATCGCACAATTCCAAACAAAGAAAGTCAGGTAATTGACTGACCTGCTTCAACTTTTGAGGGCTTGAGGTACAAAGAAATAGAGATCGTAAATAGTTACAATTAAAACAAAGGTGAAATTTTAAAAGCTAAGAGATATGCATTACAATAATCAAATCCTATGCATCCGAGTAAAAAAGGGTCAGTTACACAATGACTTCTCTCACACATTCATACTTACAGGAAATCATTTATTTTTGTCACAGGTTGGTATTGTACTTACAATAGTTCTACTGACACCAATGTGTCTTTCTTATCTCGCACCTTATGACTGTACAGGTCATATGATA